GATCTCAGTGTTGCTGACTCAGGATCTCAGTGGCACTGACTCAGGATCTCAGTGACGCTGACTCAGGATCTCAGTGGCGCTGACTCGGGATCTCAATGGCACTGACTCAGGATCTCAGTGACGCTGACTCAGGATCTCAGTGGTGCTGACTCAGGATCTCAGTGGTGCTGACTCAGGATCTCAGTGACACTGACTCAGGATCTCAGTGGTGCTGACTCAGGATCTCAGTGGTGCTGACTCAGGATCTCAGTGGTGCTGACTCAGGATCTCAGTGGTGCTGACTCAGGATCTCAGTGACACTGACTCAGGATCTCAGTGGTGCTGACTCAGGATCTCAGTGGTGCTGACTCAGGATCTCAGTGGTGCTGACTCAGGATCTCAGTGGCGCTGACTCAGGATCTCAGTGGTGCTGACTCAGGATCTCAGTGGTGCTGACTCAGGATCTCAGAGGCGCTGACTCAGGATCTCAGTGACACTGACTCAGGATCTCAGTGGTGCTGACTCAGGATCTCAGTGGTGCTGACTCAGGATCTCAGTGGTGCTGACTCAGGATCTCAGTGGCGCTGACTCAGGATCTCAGTGATGCTGACTCAGGATCTCAGTGGTGCTGACTCAGGATCTCAGTGGCGCTGACTCAGGATCTCAGTGGTGCTGACTCAGGATCTCAGTGGTGCTGACTCAGGATCTCAGAGGCGCTGACTCAGGATCTCAGTGATGCTGACTCAGGATCTCAGTGGCGCTGACTCAGGATCTCAGTGGTGCTGACTCAGGATCTCAGTGGAGCTGACTCAGGATCTCAGAGGCGCTGACTCAGGATCTCAGTGACACTGACTAAGGATCTCAGTGGCGCTGACTCAGGATCTCAGTGGCGCTGACTCAGGATCTCAGTAGTGCTGACTCAGGATCTCAGTGACACTGACTCAGGATCTCAGTGACACTGACTAAGGATCTCAGTGGCGCTGACTCAGGATCTCAGTGGCGCTGACTCAGGATCTCAGTGACGCTGACTCAGGATCTCAGTGACACTGACTAAGGATCTCAGTGGCGCTGACTCAGGATCTCAGTGGCGCTGACTCAGGATCTCAGTGTCGCTGACTCAGGATCTCAGTGACACTGACTCATGATCTCAGTGGTGCTGACTCAGGATCTCAGTGGTGCTGACTCACGATCTCTACCCGCCCACCTCGTTCATGACCCTTATTTTGGAACTAGGCCCAGAAGTGAACATTCCACATTCGTGTGGCCGGGCGCCCAGCCTTCCCACGTACGACGAGCAAGCGGGTCGCGTTGAACGCGACAATTCTCAGCGACCTCTCATCGCGTCGCGCGTGGCAAATGAGAAACGATCATCGCCCCGGGATTTAGGAACGCGCGGGCAGCATAACCAGAGCCATGAGCTCATTCATTTCCGATCCCACGACCTCGGGGGACGCCTCTCCTCCCCTCCCATTCCATCTCTCCCTCACGCCCCCCCGCCTGCCCGCCTGCTCCCCTCCCTCAATCTCGATCCGCTCCCATTCTCTCTCTACCCCCTCTCCTCTCCATCCCTCACCTCTCTCCCCATCTCATTCCCTCCATCTCTCTCTCACCTATCTCCATCTCTCTACCCCCTCTGTTTTTTTGTACGATCAGTGGAAACAAGAAGATGCTCGGTGTAGTCGGCACTTTGCTTCGTTCATCATTTCGGTTTTTTTTATGCTTTGCTTTATGTAACCCCCCCTTTTAAACCTCTCTCCCCATCTCCTTCCCTCCACCTCTCTCTCCTCTCTCCCCTCCCCTCTCTCAACCCCCTCTCCATCTCCCATCGCACTTCTCTCTACCCCCCCCCTCCTCCCCATCTCTCACCTCTCTCGCCATCTCCGTCCTCACGGCGGTTCCCAGTTGGGGCTACACGTGGCCTGGCTCCGTGTGGGCGGTCGCGGATTGCACATCAAGGCTGCCAGCCAATGGGCGGTGGGGCCCAGGAATGTTGACGCATCATCGCGGGAGGTCATTGACCAGCCACGCTGGGTCGGTGAAGGCAGGGAGCACGTCACCGTTTGGACACGCGTGCAGTTAGCGAGCGCCTATTAAGGTCGGACGGGGTGGCCTGCAACACAGGGCGCTAACAATTACGCTTCACACAAAGATCCCCCGTGTAGCCTTGACAGACTGTTGGGGCAAGTGCTGTTAGCGAGCAGCACCTATGAAGACCGGCACGGCACACGAGCCGGTGGGTGGACAGCACCACGCCCAACCGCCTTTGTCTCCCCAGTGGCGATGTTTACACACCGCGCCAGGTACTCGTTTTGAGGCTGAGTCGACTTAGGGGAGGACCAGGACCGGTACAGATAATCGTCACCGGTGTTGGCCGTGAGCAGGAATCGAACCCGGGTCGCTGGGTAGCGTAGCGCTGATCACTACACTACCGCTCCCGCCCACACAAACACGCACACACTCACGCACACGCACACACATACGCACACACACATACACACACATACGCACACACACATACACACACATACGCACACACACCCACACGAGTGTATGAGCACGCGGGACACACGCGGCTGCCCACACGAACTGCTGCTAAACGCTTCCATGTGAAGCTCCACCCACCGCGGCTCTCCCCCGGAGACTGCGGGGACAAATAGCTCCCGTGTCTCCCCGTGTCTCTCCGTGTCTCCCCGCGTCTCACCGCGTCTCCACGTGTCTCCCTGTGTCTCCTCGTGTCTCCCCCGTGTCGCTCCGTGTTTCTCCGTGTCTCTCCTGTGTGTCTCTCCGCGTCTCACCGCGTCTCCGCGTGTCTCCCCGTGTCTCCTCGTGTCTCCCCCGTGTCGCTCCGTGTTTCTCCGTGTCTCTCCGTGTCTCCCCGTGTCTCTCCGTGTCTCCCAGTGTATCTCCTGTGTGTCTCTCCGCGTCTCACCGCGTCTCCTCGTGTCTCCCCGTGTCTCTCCCATCCCGCGCCGGGGGAGACACGGAGACAACGGAGACGGGACTGGGTTGGTGGGTCGGGGGGGGAGACAGATCATTATCACGTGACACAAGACGAACTCGGCACGTTTGTCAAACAAAAGTAACACTGCCTTCAAAAGGAATGGCCTACAACAGGCGCCGTTTCGGGCAATGACCCTACCTTCACGGCACGTAAATCACACAGGTGCGTCGACTCTGGTTGCTTCAAATGCTGCGCCTAATTTTGTTTCTTTTGTCATTTTGGTGAGCCGGCAGGTCACGCAGTCGTGACCTCTCGAGTAAAGATTCGCTGGCGACACACGGCCAGGTGGAGAGGGAGAGGCGGGGAGGGAGAGGCGGGGAGGGAGAGGCGGGGAGGGAGAGGCGGGGAGGGAGAGGCGGGGAGGGAGAGGCGGGGAGGGAGAGGCGGGGAGGGAGAGGCGGGGAGGGAGAGGCGGGGAGGGAGAGGCGGGGAGGGAGAGGCGGGGAGGGAGAGGCGGGGAGGGAGAGGCGGGGAGGGAGAGGCGGGGAGGGAGAGGCGGGGAGGGAGAGGCGGGGAGGGAGAGGGTGGACGGGTGGCAGGGAGGGGGTGATGGAGACAGGGAGACACCGGGACAGGACGGGGGTCATGAATGGAGGGACAGGGGTGGAGACAGTCTGGAGCAGGGGGTTCTTAACCTTTGCTGCAGCTTTGCACCCGTTTGGTTCTCAATCTTAAAACAACAAAAACCAATGTTAATAAATACAGACGGTTTGATAAATCAATTGTGCCCGTGCTTAATTTGCGTCGTCGATTATTTAACTTCTAAAAAAATCTGGCCTCGTCTCGCACCCACAAAAAGGGCATCTCGCACCCCCAGGGGGGGGGGGGCTGCAGCGTGCACCCCCAGGGGGGGGCTGCAGCGTGCACCCCCAGGGGGGGGCTGCAGCGTGCACCCCCAGCTTCAGAAGAAGAACCACTGCTCTAGAATATTTGGCTGGCTAGATATTTCAACACGATGATGAGCCACTTCGTTGAGCCATCATTTGTGTCCAGGTCGCTTCTCAAGAACACCACAGCTGTATCAGCTGCAATAAAATAGTTGACGGGATCGGGGGTGGAGACAGGGAGGGGTGGAGACGAGGGAGGAGAGATGATTTCAGGTTCATTTACTCGGTAGAACCCTGTGACTCGGGTGCAACCGCAACAAAACAAAAACACATGAACAAGAAACATCTTAAAGAGATAAGGAGGGAGTGGTGGTGATGGGAAACAGGGGGTGATATAGCGAGTGAGAGAGAGGGGGGGGGGGTCACAGAGGTGGGGACAAGGAGACAGGGGGAGACGGGGTGGGGGGGCAGACAGAGAGGAAGGGAGACAAAGGGGGGGGGGGCGCTGACAGGGACACGGGGGGGGGCAGACGGGGAGACAGGATGTCCTCTCTGCTGTGACAAAACACGGGGGGGTGGGAATTCAGAGTTCGATTCCCGCTGGCGGTCCATAACACCGGGTGGCGGATATCACAAGCGGCCCTGGGCCTCCACTAGGTCGACTCAGCCTCGAACGAATACTCAGCCTTAAATGGAGTGCCTATTGCGGTGTGAAAAAATATCAGCGCTGGGGAGACAAAGGCGGTCGGGTGTGGTGCTGGCCGCCCCACCCCCTTAGTGTGCCGTGCCGGCCTTCATTGGTGGTGCTGCTAACAGCACTTGCCCCACCAGGATGTTGAAGGCTATACGGGGGGTCTTTGTCTGTTGTTTCGTGGTATGTAAATGTGTTCGCGTGTCTGTGTGGAGCGGTAGCGCAGTAGCGGTCACGCGCCGCGCTACGAACCCGGGTTCGATTCCCGCTCACGGCCAACACACAGTGGCGATTATTTGAACCGGTCCTGGGCCTCCCCTAGGTCGACTCAGCCTCAAATGAGTACCTGGTATGCTGTATAAACATCACCGCTGGGGAGACAAAGGCGGTCGGGCGTGGTGCTGGCCACCCACACCCTCGTGTGCCGTTCCGGCCTTCATAGGTGCTCGCTAACAGCACTTGCCCCAACAGTCTGTCAAGGCTACACGGGGGGTCTTTGTTGTTTCGTGGTATGTAACTGTGTGTGTGTGTGTGTGTTAAAACGTCTCCGACTGAACACGTGACGCCTTTTCCGCTTCCCGCAGAATTTCACTCTGAGAAAGGGGGAAAAAAACCTCTCCGCACTGTGGCGAGGAAACTGAGAAAAAAATCTCCCTCCAACGCACTCCCAACTTTTTCCTGCCTTTGTGCAAAGAAGCTCGGCTACAGTGAGACTCCTCGAGGCGGACAGCCACGCCGGTGTGCACATTCGAGTTTAGTTTCGGTCAGATTATTAGCACATCAGCATCATCATCATCAGCCGTAACATCATCGTCAGTACCAACATCATCATCATCGTCGTCAGCAGTAACATCATCGTCGTCGTCGGTAGCAGCGTCTACATTAACTTCGTTACCATCAGCAGCAGCAGTAGTAGGGATCTACATCATCTTCAGCAGCATCATCATCATCATCCAGTATCAGCAGCAGCATCAGCAACATTATCGTTATCATCACCATCACCGAATTAGCCGCCTTCATTGATTTTTCTCATCATCCTCTTTTAAGTTTCTTTATCATCATCGGAATCGCCAACATCATCATCATCGTCATCCGATAGAGCAACATTACCGTCGTAGTTATCATCATCAGCATCACCGCGACCTCTTCACTCCTCATTAAACCACCTCGTCAATAATTCATTGAGGATTACTCACGGCACCTCATCATCATCATCACCCCCCCCCTCAGCATCAACCATCACCGCCACCACAGCCGCCTGGAGCTCACCGTCAGGTGAGTCTCTGATGGTGACCACCACGACGACCACCACGAGGTGGTGTAGGATGATGACGAAGACGATGTCCACGTCTCTGCACGCATCGTCGTTCGCCGCGAGGCAGACGAAGAGGGGAATTGCCGCGAGCGGTCGTGACCACGACACTACCTCCTCCTCCTCCTCCCACTCATCATCATCGTCGTCGTCGTCGTCAACCTCGTCCACCCTGGCCGCCCCCCTCCTCCTCCTCCTCGCCGTCGTCGTCTTGGTGGCGGTGGCGCCAGGAGTCGTCTCGGGCTACAGCCTGGACGCTGACAGAGCCCTCCTCTACTTCCGTCCCAACTCCTCGTTCTTCGGATACTCCGTGCTGCCTCACGTCTACCAGCACGAGCGATGGTGAGGAGGTGGTGGTGGTGAGGTGGTGGTGGTGAGGTGGTGGTGGTGAGGTGGTGGTGGTGAGGTGGTGGTGGTGAGGTGGTGGTGGTGGTGAGGTGGTGGTGGTGGTGAGGAGGTGGTGGTGGTGAGGTGGAGGTGGTGGTGGTGAGGAGGAGGAGGTGTAACGTGGCGGCGATGATTGATGATGGTGGTGGTGATAGCGGATGTGTTGGTGGTGGTTGATGAGGAAGAAGCCGTGGTTGGTGGTGATGAGGTGACAATGAGGTGGTGATGGTTGATATATAGGTGGTGGTGGTGATGATTATGATGGTGGTGGTAGTGGATGTTGTTGATGGTGTGCAGGTGATGGTGAGAAATGAAGCTGTGGTGGTGATGTGGTGGTGATGTGGTGAGGTAGTGGTGGTGGCAAGGATGTGATGTGATGAGGTGGTGGTGGCAAGGATGTGATGTGATGTGGTGAGGTGGTGGTGGTGGCAAGGATGTGGTGGTGGTGGAGGTGGTGGCAATGTGGTGATGTGGTGATGTGGTGGGGGCAAGGAGGTGATGTGGTGATGTGGTGATGGCAAGGAGGTGATGTGGCGAGGAGGTAATGAGTGAGGTGATTGTGATGGTGGTTGTGGTGCTAGGGAGCGGTAGTGTCGTGGTTAGGGCGCTGCGCTACAAACCCGGCGTGCCGAGTTCGATTTCCGCTCACAGCCACCACCAGTGACGATCATCTGAACCGGTACTGGGCCTCCCCTAGGTCGACTCAGCCTCAAATGAGTACCTGGTACGGTGTGTAAGCATCGCCACTACAGAGACAAAGGCGGTCGGGCTTAGTGCTGGTCACCCACCCCCTCGTGTGTCGTGCCGGCCTTCATAGGTGCTGCTCACTAACAGCACTTGCCCCTGCAGTCTGTTAAGACGATATGGGGGGGTCTGTGTCTTTTGTCTTTGCTGCTGGGAGGTAACGTGGCGAGGAGATGATGATGATGATGAGGAGGAGGTGGTGGTGGTGTGATGTTTGGCGGTGATGGTGGTGGTGGTGATAGTGGTGGTGGTGATGGTGGTGATGGTGGTGGTGGTAAAGAAGTGCTTGTCATGACGAGGCGATGTATGAGCTGCCGATGTTCGTGGTGGTGGTGGTGTTGAGGAGGAGGTGTTGGAGGTGAGGAGGTTACCGTGGTGATAGTGACGAGGTTGTGATGGTGGTTGTGATGGTGGTTGTGGGGACGATGCCGCTGCTGGTGGTGACGGCGGTGGTGTTGAGGAGGTGATGAGGAGGTGGAGCATGAGACGAAAATGTGTGGCTAGGGTTGATGAGGTGGTGGTGGTGGTGAGCAGGAGGTTGGTACAACATCACACCATCACCACACCATCATCGCCACACCATCATCGCCACACCACCATAATCACCACCACACCATCACCACACCATCACCACACCACACTATCACCACACCATCATCGCCACACCATCATCACCACACCACCATAATCACCATCACACCATCACCACACCACACTATCACCACACCATCATCGCCACACCATCATCACCACCCCATCATCACCACACCATCATCACCACACCATCATCATCACCACCACCCCATCACCACCACATCATCACCACCACACCATCACCACACCATCATCATCACCACACCATCACCACTACACCACCACCACTACACCATCATCGCCACGCCATCACCACACCATCATCACCACCACACCATCACCACCACACCATCACCACACCATAATCACCACCACACCATCACCACACCATCATCACCACCACACCATCACCACCACGCCATCACCACACCATCACCACCACGCCATCACCACCACGCCATCACCACTACATCACCACCACACCATCACCACACCATCATCACCATCACGCCATCATCACCACTACACCACCACCACTACGCCATCACATCACCCCATCCAACCTGTGCCGTGCAGGAGTGACGCCCCCCCCCCCTCTGCCTGTGCCCCCCCCTCTCCCCCCAGGGTGCTGGTGGGGGCCCCCCAATCCCGCTCCCCCCTGTACCCCAACACGAAGAGGCCGGGCTCCCTGTTCCGCTGCCCCGTGCGCAGGAACCCCACGTGCAGCTGCAGCGAGGTCCCCTTGGACAGTGAGTCGGGCCCTGGCTCCCACAGCCCTCGCCACCTTGCCCCAAGCATCGCCCCACAGCCCTAGCCTCATAGCCATAACCCCATAGCCCTAGCCCATAGTCCTAACCCCATAGTCCTAACCCCATAGCCCTAACCCCATAGCTCTAACCCCATAGCCATAACCCCATTGCTCTAACCCCATAGCCCTAACCCCATAGCTCTAACCCCATTGCCCTAACCCCATAGCTCTAACCCCATAGCTCTAACCCCATAACCCTAACCCCATTGCCCTAATCCCATTGCCCTAACCTCATAGCCCTAACCCCATAATCCTAACCCATTGCCCTAAACCCATAGCCCTAGCTCTAGCTCTAACCATACCCCTAGCTCTAACCCTATATCCCTAACCCCATAGGCTTCGCTCTAACCATAGCCACATAACCCAAACCCCCTTGCCTTCAGTCTAACCCTATAGCCCTCACCCTAACCCTATATCCATAGCCCTAACCCCATAGCTCGAGCACTAACCCCATAGCCTTGACCATAACCCTAACTCAATAGCCTTAACCTCATAGTCATAACCCCATAGCGCTAGCCATAGCCCCATAATCCCAACCCTACAGCCTTAACCCCATAGATCTAGCCCTAAACCCATATCCCCAACCCCTGACCCCATAGCCCTAAGTTTTTAGTCTTTAATCCTGATCCTAACCACATAGCCCTAACCCCATAGCCATAACCCCACAACCCTAACCCCATAGCCCTAACCCGATAACCCTAACATCATATCCCTTACCCCATAACCCTAACCACATAACCCTAAACCTATAGCCCTCAGCATAACCCCATAACTCTAATCTTAACCCTATAAGAGCTCTAACTCTCACCCTAGCTGCAAATTGAGATAGGCAGCATGATGAGTTACAGACGCAGATACTCACGCAAAGAGATGCTCACGGAGAGAGATACATGGGGGGCGGGGGGGGGGTGAGATCACAGAGATAGATGGAGGGAGATTACACAGATAGATACGAGGATGGGGGAGTGATGTGTGGCGATAGCAGGCGGAGCCACACCCTAAACAAGCCCTTCCACAGACCTCCCTGGGGAGGGTTAGAATCCCGGCGAAGGGACAGAAGGAATGTCTCGATGCTTGGAGAGATTGTGGGAGCCGGCCGTTGTCAACCGGCCACTCGGAGGTGGGGGTTGGCGGACCACGCACAGATGGACCACCGGACAGCCAATTCCAGGGCAATGAGGCGGTGACCTTTGGGACGAGTAGGAGAGAAAGGGGGCAGTACAGCAAGTAGCGGATGAATTAAGCGCAGAGCGGCGTTCTGTTGTAGGTCGGAATCGTTTTCCATTCCTCCCACGCGATATTTTCAGCGTGCGAAGCTGAAAAAAACAATCCGCTGATGGATGTTGGTCAGTGTGCGGGGTTGTTGATGGCGAGTGGGTGGGAGGCCGGGGGGGGGGTAGACGTGGGAGCATTGAAGTAGAGTCACACATTGGCGTTTTGCTGCACGCACTGCACATATCCTGTTCACATCCCAGTGGTGGCACTTCCACATTGCTATGGCGGGGGAGCAGGGGTCTGGATGGACATGTGGTTTATGATCGTGGCTATGATAACACAAGAGACTCACAACGAGACGGCGGCGAACAGAGATGGAGAGGGCAGAGGGTATCCATCCCCAGGGTCCTTAGACCAACCAATATCTATACAGTACTATATGTAAAAGGGAAATTTGTGAATGTGTGTGTCTGTTAGAAATGTTTAGCGTACTTCCCAACATGCAACAAACTTGAAATTTTGCATGTGGGTATCCTCCAGACCAGGGGTCGGCAACCAAAATAACAAGAAGAGCCATTTCTTTCCAATTCGGTACAAAAGTCAGTATTTCAAGAGCCGCAATGCATCTGAGTACATACTGTACATATCGTCAAGAAGCAGCCCGTAAAGAGCCGCATGCGGCTCCGGAGCCGTAGGTTGCCGACCCCTGCTCCAGACTGTACACAATTAAAAAAGTATAAAAAGAGACTTTGTATTTTGGGGGGGAGGGGGGCGCAATAATGGATATATTTTGCACAGCAAGTGAGCGGTGACGTCACATCTGTGATGTCACCCGCATGCGGCAGCGTGACGCAGTGTGCCTGCTGACGTCACGCATCCCCCCACCCTCCACGTAGGCCGTGTGTTAATCCAAGACAAGAATCCAAGTGCCGGGCGAAGCCGGGTAGTGAAGCGAGTGTGTTATATGTTGAACTTCTTTCGCACCGTACGTAGCCAACCGCGCTAATCGGAGGTGCGGTGGCACCTGCTTTATCTCTGACACGGACATTAATGCGCCCACGTGTTTGGAATGTTTTATTCTTCTTCCAGTGACTCAGCAAAACCAGACGTGTGGGAAATACTGCCGAGCGGACCTGGAGGACCAGTGGCTCGGCGTGAGCCTCAAGCGACAGCCGGGCAGCGATGGGAAAATCCTGGTAATGAAACAAATTCTATCACTTGCCCACCGACCCACCGTCTCAGACACTCACCCACCCACCCTCTGATCCACCAACTCACCAACCAACCAACTCACCCGCCAACTCACCGACCCACCGTCTCAGACACTCACCCACCCACCCACCCGCTGATCCACCAACTCACCAACCAACCAACTCACCCGCCAACTCACCGACCCACCGTCTCAGACACTCACCCACCCACCCGCTGATCCACCAACTCACCAACCAACCAACTCACCCGCCAACTCACCGACCCACCGTCTCAGACACTCACCCACCCACCCGCTGATCCACCAACTCACCAACCAACCAACTCACCCGCCAACTCACCGACCCACCGTCTCAGACACTCACCCACCCACCCGCTGATCCACCAACTCACCAACCAACCAACTCACCCGCCAACTCACCGACCCACCGTCTCAGACACTCACCCACCCACCCGCTGATCCACCAACTCACCAACCAACCAACTCACCCGCCAACTCACCGACCCACCGTCTCAGACACTCACCCACCCACCCTCTGATCCACCAAATCACCAACCAACCAACTCACCCGCCAACTCACCGACCCACCGTCTCAGACACTCACCCACCCACCCGCTGATCCACCAACTCACCAACCAACCAACTCACCCGCCAACTCACCGACCCACCGTCTCAGACACTCACCCACCCACCCGCTGATCCACCAACTCACCAACCAACCAACTCACCCGCCAACTCACCGACCCACCGTCTCAGACACTCACCCACCCACCCTCTGATCCACCAACTCACCAACCAACCAACTCACCCGCCAAGTCACCGACCCACCGTCTCAGACACTCACCCACCCACCCTCTGATCCACCAACTCACCAACCAACCAACTCACCCGCCAACTCACCGACCCACCGTCTCAGACACTCACCCACCCACCCACCCTCTGATCCACCAACTCACCAACCAACCAACTCACCCGCCAACTCACCGACCCACCGTCTCAGACACTCACCCACCCACCCTCTGATCCACCAAATCACCAACCAACCAACTCACCCGCCAACTCACCGACCCACCGTCTCAGACACTCACCCACCCACCCGCTGATCCACCAACTCACCAACCAACCAACTCACCCGCCAACTCACCGACCCACCGTCTCAGACACTCACCCACCCACCCGCTGATCCACCAACTCACCAACCAACCAACTCACCCGCCAACTCACCGACCCACCGTCTCAGACACTCACCCACCCACCCGCTGATCCACCAACTCACCAACCAACCAACTCACCCGCCAACTCACCGACCCACCGTCTCAGACACTCACCCACCCACCCGCTGATCCACCAACTCACCAACCAACCAACTCACCCGCCAACTCACCGACCCACCGTCTCAGACACTCACCCACCCACCCGCTGATCCACCAACTCACCAACCAACCAACTCACCCGCCAACTCACCGACCCACCGTCTCAGACACTCACCCACCCACCCGCTGATCCACCAACTCACCAACCAACCAACTCACCCGCCAACTCACCGACCCACCGTCTCAGACACTCACCCACCCACCCGCTGATCCACCAACTCACCAACCAACCAACTCACCCGCCAACTCACCGACCCACCGTCTCAGACACTCACCCACCCACCCACCCTCTGATCCACCAACTCACCAACCAACCAACTCACCCGCCAACTCACCGACCCACCGTCTCAGACACTCACCCACCCACCCTCTGATCCACCAAATCACCAACCAACCAACTCACCCGCCAACTCACCGACCCACCGTCTCAGACACTCACCCACCCACCCGCTGATCCACCAACTCACCAACCAACCAACTCACCCGCCAACTCACCGACCCACCGTCTCAGACACTCACCCACCCACCCGCTGATCCACCAACTCACCAACCAACCAACTCACCCGCCAACTCACCGACCCACCGTCTCAGACACTCACCCACCCACCCGCTGATCCACCAACTCACCAACCAACCAACTCACCCGCCAACTCACCGACCCACCGTCTCAGACACTCACCCACCCACCCGCTGATCCACCAACTCACCAACCAACCAACTCACCCGCCAACTCACCGACCCACCGTCTCAGACACTCACCCACCCACCCTCTGATCCACCAAATCACCAACCAACCAACTCACCCGCCAACTCACCTACCCACTGATCCACCACCACAGCCACTATCTCATCCAACATACCAACACATCCACCCACAACAACAACAAGACAAAGATCCCCCGTATAGCCTTAACAGACTTTTGGACCAAGAGCTGTTAGCGAGCACCTATGAAGGCTAGCCCGGCACACGAGGGGGTGGGTGGCCAGCACCACGCCCGGCCGCCTTTTTCTCCCGAGTGGCGATGTTTACACACCGCACCAGGCACTTATTTTAGGTTGAGTAGACCTAGGGGAGACGCAGGACCGGTTCAAATAACACTGGTCAACAAAAAAAAAATTCTTGCCTGGACTTTTGCAGCTGTTTTAGACTAATTTCAGGGTGCTGATTCCAAATCTGATCTCATATTTGCTCTATCACATCTCATTTTATGCTATCAGCAAACCCCATTTTCATTGATTTTACCCGAAATTAACTCTGTCACTTATGATTGCAAGTTGTTGCGAGTCAGTGACTGCTTTAGTGATAAAATATGGTGCTGTATTTTTAGGATAGTGTGTTTATAATATCATTTTATGTAGATATCCACATTTATGAAATATTTTTCTTCTGCAGTTTTTATTGAAAATGCAATATTTGATATCTCAAAAACCTGATGTGATAGACAAAAACTGATGCCAGATTTGGAATCAGCACCCCAAAATTACATTAAACCCGTTGGAATACCTTATGCCAGAAAAAGTGTGTTGACCAGTGTAATCATCACTGGTGTTTGCCGTGAATGGGAATCAAATTCGGGTCGCCGGGTTCTCGGAGATGTTAACTACCTCGCCTCGTATACAGGAGGTCGTGGGTTCGATCCCGACCCTGACGATGCCTGCTGCTGTATATTAGGAGTTTGCGTGTCTCTCTCTCATCATCATCACAGTGGCTAGGAGATGTTAACTTTCTCGCCTGGTCTACAGTGCTGGGCTGCCGCTATAAATGTCCACTTCGTTCAGCTGCTACCATTTGTGTGGACAGGTCGCTTCTGAGAAAAGTTCACTTACATAGCTCAGTGGGCCTTTTTGGGTTGGATCGCGTAAGCATAAATGTGTCGTACCCCTCCACCACCCGACACGGCCAGTAAGGTCCGTCACGTAAACAACGCGCCAATTAGTTTACTTCTTCAGCCCACCGGTGTGTTGGAGAGTGAATCCACAACATTCACAATGAGAGTAGTCCGACGTTTCGCTGGCAATTACATCAACCAGCATCATTGGGCGATGTGCCAGGACAATATTGATGGCGAAGGCGTGCGTGTTACACCCGTGGTTACACAGTACCCCCCCCCCCCCATCTTGCACCCCAGGTGTGTGCCCACCGCTGGAAGAACGTGCACTACCGCAAGACGATCTACCCGTACGGGGTGTGCCTGCTCATCCCCGCCAGCCTGGTCGCCCGGCAGGGCACCAAGCAGCTCAGGCCGTGCCACAAGAGTGAGCAGGGGGGGGGCGGGGGGGGGGTGGGGGGCGGGGTGGGGGGGGACGACGCCCGCCCCCCCGGGTGGCGCAGGGAGAGGGAGGGGTGGGGGGCGACAGAGAAGGAGGGGAATGATTGGACGAGAGGATGGGGCGCGGTGGCGGTGGGGGGGAGGGTATTTGTTGAAATGAAATCAAACGAATCGCGACGTTTCGACCGCAGCACGAGCGATCCTCATCAGGTGGGACAAGCACGGCAAGAAGACATGTTGAGGTAGGCGAGAGAGCTGCCGTGGCAAGAGGTTGTATTGGTAAGAGAAGGGGGACTTCACCCAAAGAACCAAAGAGTATGGATTCCTGCAGTCACGAAAGCTTCACATCAAGATCGGGTATTTGTTATTTGACTGGAGCTTTACAGCTCATCGGATTCCTCCGGCATAAATAAATATTCTGATGTCTGGTTACTCCTACACAGGGGGGCATTGGTGGTGTGGTATGCGGTTGGTGATTTGTGTGATGGGGTAGGTGTGGTGGTAGGTGGTGGGATGAGTGATGTGGTTTGTGGTTCGTGATTTGAGTGGTGGATGGCGTGGTGCTGACCACCCACCCTCTCGTGTGCCGTGCCGGCCTTCATCGGTCGTAACTCGCTAACAGCACTTGTCCCAGCAGTCTGTTAAGGCTATCTGGGGGGCCTTTATATGTTTGTATCACTGTGTGCGTCTTTGTATCCCCCCTACCCATCTTGCCCCCCCCCCTCCCCCCACAGACAAACACCGCAACTATGGCGAGGAACACGGCTCGTGTCAGGCAGGGATGAGTGCCGCCATTACACAGGTGTGTGTCTGTGTGTGTGTCTGTGTGTGTGTGTGTGTCTGTGTGTGTGTCTGTGTGTGTGTCTGTGTGTGTGTGTGTCTCTGTGTCTATGTGTCTGTGTAACTCTGTGTTTGTGTGTCCCTGTGTGTCTGTGTGTGTGTGTATGTGAGTCTGTGTGTCTGTGTGTCTGTGTGTCTGTGTGTGTGTATGTGAGTCTGTGTGTCCCTGTGTCTGTGTGTCTGTGTGTGTGTGTGTCTGTGTGTCTGTGTGTCTGTGTGTCCGTGTGTGTCTGTGTGTCTGTATGTGTGTGTCTGTGTGTCTGTGTGTTTGTGTGTCCGTGTGTGTCTGTGTGTCTGTATGTGTGTGTCCGTGTGTCTGTGTGTGTGTGTGTCTGTGTTGTCCCCGTGTCCCTGTGTCTGTGTGTCCGTGTATCTCTGTGTCTCTGTGTCTGTGTGTCCCTGTGTCTCCCCATGTATCTGTGCGGCGTTAATGTCTCTGCGTCTCCATGTCCCCCTGCCTCTTGTCTCCACGTCCCCTCATCCGCGTCCCCCCCTGTCCCCCCCCCCCCCGCGTGTCCCCCCCCCGCCCCCCCCGCCAGGACGCGGTGGTGATGGGCGCCCCCGGCTCGTTCTACTGGACGGGCACGGTGGTGGTGTGGAACGCCACGGAGAACCGCCTCCACTACCACGCCGAGCCCTGGCACGTGGGGCCTGGCAGCTACCTGGGTCAGTGGGGGGGGGGCAGCTGGGGTGACGTTGGTAACGAGGTGACGGTGTGATGAGGTGACGGTGATGACGGTGATGACAAGGTGATGACGAGGTGATGGTGATGACGAGGTGACGGTGATGACGAGGTGATGACGAGGTGACGGTGATGGCGAGGTGACGGAGATGACGAGGTGATGGTGATGACGAGGTGATGACGAGGTGATGACGAGGTGATGGTGATGACAAGGTGATGACGAGGTGATGATGAGGTGACGGTGATGACGAGGTGATGACGAGGTGATGACGAGGTGGTGACGAGGTGTGTGTCGCAGGTTACTCCGTGGAGACGGGGAACTTTGTGACCCCGGGAAGCACGGAGATCGCGGGGGGAGCGCCGCAGCACTCGAGTGTGGGCAAGGTGAGGCCGGGGGGGGGGGGGCAAGGTGAGGCCGGGGGGGGGGGCGGGGGAGCAGGGGGGTCCAGGGAGGTCCAGGGGGTCCAGGGGTCCAGGGGGTCCAGGGGGGGAAGGGGGGCAGGGGGGCTCGCCATGTTGGGGTTCGGCAACCCGCGTGTCCCGAGGCCGCACGCGGCTCGTCAGGAAACGGCTCCTCCTCCTCCTACCCCCCCTCCTCCTCCTACCCCTCCCCTCCTCCTCCTCCTACCCCCCCTCCTACCCCCCCTCCTCCTCCTCCTACCCCCCTCCTCCTCCTATCCCTCCTCCTCCTACCCGCCCCCTCCTCCTCCTACCCCCCCGCCTCCTACCCCCCCCCCTCCTCCTACCCCCGCCCCCCCTCACCCCGCCAATGTTTGTCTGTGTATATCGCGCCTGGCTCGTGTTCTGTGGCAACGTAAAGCCAAAACACGACAGGAATGACCGCCACCGTCTCGCTATTCACCGCAGTGCAGATTGCAGCTCTTGAAACACTCAGCGTTAGTCTCTTGTCGTTGTACCGACTTCAACAGAAGACGAAGATGAAGACGAGTCTCTTATTATTTATTTGGTTTCTGAAAGCCCCGGGTCTCCTCGAGACCCCCGTAGAGATCCACCGCTGTCTCTGTCTGTCTGTCGTGGTCTCTGGCCGGTGTCCGTGGGGTGAGCTCGTCTCTCTCTCTGTGTGTGTGTCTCCCAGGTGTTCCTGTTCAAGGTCGACAATGGCAAGTTGATTCCGTTCTTCGAAGCGTCGGGAAAGAAGGTTCGCAACCCTCGCGCATCGCTCACAACAATTAGAACGCCTCCTCCTTCTCGTGGTCTCCATTGTCATCGGCGTCATCACTGTCGTCATCACTGTCGTCAACCTGCTCCATCTCATCCACGAGCTCACGAGCGACGGTCAGAGACTCTCTCCTGTCTCTGACCGCGGCTCAATAACTCCAAACCGTGCAGCATGGGACTTCACACTGCCCCAAATAAACACGCAGTGGGTGCGTGGAGTGGGTTAGTGGGTGGGTGAGTTGGTTGGTGAGTTGGTGGATCAGTGGGTGGGTTGGTAGGTGATTGAGTGAGTGGGTGGTTAAGTGGGTGGGTTCATGCGTGGGTGGATGGATGGGTAGGTGAGTGGATGGGTGAGTGGGTGGGTGAGTGGGGTGGTGAGTAAGTGAATGGGTAGGTGGATGGGTGCGTTGGTAAGTGAGTGGGTGCACGGGTGGGTGGATGCGTGAGTGAGTGAGTGGGTGTGTGAGTGGACGGGTGGGGGACTAAGTGAGTGAGTGGGTGAGTGAGTGGGTGTGTGAGTGGACGGGTGGGTGAGTTGTTATGACCCGAATTGTGGTGGTGGTGGTGGTGGTGGTGGCTGAGCACAGTGGCTCGGCAACCCGGGGAGACGGATGCCATTGTGAGTTCAACAGTCGAAGGAAGGAGGAGGTGGCGGTGGGGGATGAGGGGGGAGAGGAAACAGCCAAAACGAAAAACACATCCTCCTGCTGCCCCCCCCCCCCCCTTGTCCACGCTTCCCCCGTGGTCGGCTCAACGTCCTTGGACTTGCGTGGCGCACACAACGCTGTGTCCGGTACCGTGGTGGGGGTGGGGGTGGTGGCCGTGGGGGGGTGGTGGTGGCCGTGGGGGTGGTGGTGGGGGTGGTGGCCGTGGGGGGGTGGTGGTGGTGGCCGTGGGGGTGGTGGTGGTGGCCGTGGGGGTGGTGGCCGTGGTGGTGGTGGTGGCCGTGGTGGTGGTGGTGGTGGTGGTGGCCGTGGTGGTGGTGGCCGTGGTGGTGGTGGTGCTCGTGTTGATGGGGTGGTGGTCGTGGTGACAGTCGTGCTGCTGGTGATGGTGAAGGCTTTACTGGCAATTGTTGTTAATGGTGGTGATATTGCTGCTGATGATGAAGCTACTGATGATGCTGCTGCTGCTGATGATGATGATGCTACCGCTGATGATCATGTTACTGCTGCTGATGATACTACTGCTGCTGATGATGATACTACTGATGATGATGATGCTACCGCTGATGATGATGCTACTGCTGATGATGATGATACTACTGCTGATGATGATGTTACTGCTGATGATGATGCTACTGCTGATGATGATACTACTGCTGATGATGATGCTACTGCTGATGATGATACTACTGCTGATGATGATGTTACTGCTGATGATGATGCTACTGCTGATGATGATGCTACTGCTGCTGATGATGATGCTGCTACTGCCGCTGCAGCTGGGCTCGTACTTTGGCGCGTCGCTCTGCGTGGGCGACGTGAACGGCGACTCCCTCTCGGACCTCCTGGTGGGGGCGCCCTTCCACAGCGACGTGCGCGACGAGGGCCGCGTCTTCCTCTTCCTCAGCCGCGGGGGGGTGCGCCGGAGCCCCCCACAACTCACATCACACACCACGCAGTGTCGTCTCCATGTCCCCGTGTCCCCGTGTCTCCGTGTCTCCGTGTCCCCGTGTCTCTGTGTCTCCATGTCCCCGTGTCCCCGTGTCTCCATGTCCCCGTGTCCCCGTGTTTCCGTGTCCCCGTGTCTCTATGTCTCCGTGTCTCCATGTCCCCGTGTCTCCGTGTCCCCGTGTTTCCGTGTCCCCGTGTCTCTGTGTCTCCATGTCCCCGTGTCTCCGTGTCCACGTGTCTCCATGTCCCCGTGTCCCCGTGTCTCCATGTCCCCGTGTCCCCGTGTCTCCGTGTCTCCGTGTCCCCGTGTCTCCGTGTCTCCGTGTCCCCGTGTCCCCGTGTCCCCGTGTCTCCATGTCCCCGTGTCCCCGTGTCTCCATGTCCCCGTGTCTCCGTGTCCCCGTGTCTCCGTGTCCCCGTGTCTCTGTGTCTCCATGTCCCCGTGTCTCCGTGTCTCCGTGTCCCCGTGTCTCCGTGTCCCCGTGTCTCTGTGTCTCCATGTCCCCGTGTCTCCGTGTCCACGTGTCTCCATGTCCCCGTGTCCCCGTGTCTCCGTGTCCCCGTGTCTCCGTGTCTCCATGTCTCCGTGTCTCCGTGTCCCCGTGTCTCCGTGTCCCCGTGTCTCCATGTCCCCGTGTCTCTGTGTCCCCGTGTCTCCGTGTCTCCGTGTCCCCGTGTCTCTGTGTCTCCATGTCCCCGTGTCCCCGTGTCTCCATGTCCCCGTGTCCCCGTGTCTCCGTGTCTCCGTGTCCCCGTGTCCCCGTGTCTCCATGTCCCCGTGTCTCCGTGTCTCCGTGTCTCCGTGTCTCCATGTCCCCGTGTCTCCGTGTCCCCGTGTCTCCGTGTCTCCATGTCCCCGTGTCTCCGTGTCCCCGTGTCTCCGTGTCCCCGTGTCTCCGTGTCCCCGTGTCTCCGTGTCTCCGTGTCCCCGTGTCTCCGTGTCCCCGTGTCTCTGTGTCTCCGTGTCCCCGTGTCTCCGTGTCCACGTGTCTCCATGTCTCCGTGTCCCCGTGTCTCCATGTCCCCGTGTCCCCGTGTCTCCATGTCCCCGTGTCTCCGTGTCCCCGTGTCTCCGTGTCTCCATGTCCCCGTGTCTCCGTGTCCCCGTGTCTCCGTGTCCCCGTGTCTCCGTGTCCCCGTGTCTCCGTGTCTCCGTGTCCCCGTGTCTCCGTGTCCCCGTGTCTCTGTGTCTCCATGTCCCCGTGTCCCCGTGTCTCCATGTCCCCGTGTCCCCGTGTCTCCGTGTCTCCGTGTCCCCGTGTCCCCGTGTCTCTGTGTCTCCGTGTCCCCGTGTCTCCGTGTCCACATGTCTCCATGTCCCCGTGTCCCCGTGTCTCCATATCCCCGTGTCCCCGTGTCTCCGTGTCCCCGTGTCTCCGTGTCTCCGTGTCCCCGTGTCTCCATGTCTCCGTGTCTCCGTGTCCCCGTGTCTCCATGTCCCCGTGTCTCCATGTCCCCGTGTCTCCGTGTCCCCGTGTCTCCGTGTCCCCGTGTCTCCGTGTCCCCGTGTCTCCGTGTCCCCGTGTCTCCATGTCCCCGTGTCTCCGTGTCCCCATGTCTCTATATCCCCGTGTCTCCGTGTCCCCATGTCTCTATATCCCCGTGTCTCCGTGTCCCCGTGTCTCCATGTCCCCGTGTCTCCGTGTCCCCGTGTCTCCGTGTCCCCGTGTCCCCGTGTCTCTGTGTCCCCGTGTCTCCGTGTCTCCGTGTCTCCGTGTCCCCGTGTCTCCGTGTCCCTGTGTCTCTGTGTCTCCATGTCCCCGTGTCTCCGTGTCCCCGTGTCTCCGTGTCCCCGTGTCTCCGTGTCCCCGTGTCTCCGTGTCTCCGTGTCCCCGTGTCTCCGTGTCCCCGTGTCTCCGTGTCCCCGTGTCTCCATGTCCCCTTGTCTCCGTGTCCCCGTGTCTCCGTGTCCTCGTGTCTCCATGTCCCCGTGTCTCCGCGCGCAGGGTGCGATGCTGGAGATGCCCACGCCGCTGCAGGGAGACAACGCCTACAACGCTCGCTTCGGGGAGGCGATGGTGAACCTGGGGGACCTGGACCACGACCACTACCCCGGTACGACCCCCCCACCCACCCCACTCAACCCCCCAACCCCCCCCCCCCCCACCCAAACTCCCCCCACAAATGTAACAGTGATCATAGGAACTGTGACCGAATTTTCACAATAAACGACATAAACAACATGTACCACCAAACCCTGCAGCCATAGCTGGCTGCATGAGTCACTCCACAACAGCAGGAGCATCAGTCGGAGTATCACATTTTTCAATGCACCTTTAAGATCGGCACACTAAATCAAAACACAGATCATACTTTGCAGCGATCATCCGGAGCGAAACATTGTATTTTAGGCCACTGAATAGCAATCGTTACTGCTGTTTTTAATAGTAGAAGTGTTGTGTTGTTGTAGTAGTGATGTTTTCGTGGTGTTGTTGTTGTGTTGCTGTTGTTGTTGTGGATGGTAGAGTTTGCGATCGGAGCGCCTTACGAGGATGACAACGGCGGGGCGGTGTACGTGTACCACGGGAGCGCGCACGGCATCGCCGCCAAGTACTCACAGGTACAAAAGACAAATATCCCCCGTGTAGCCTCAACGGACTGTAGGGGCAAGTGCTGTTAGCGAGCAGCACCGATGATGAAGGCCGGCACGGTACCACACGAGGGGGTGGGTGGTCAACACCACGTCCGGCCGCCTTTGTCTCCCGAGTGACGATGTTTACACACCGCACCAGGTACTCATTTGAGGCTGAGTAGACCTAGGGGAGGCCCATGACCGGGTGAGATAATCGTCACTGGTGTCGGCCGTGAGGGGAATCGAACCCGGATCGCCGGGTTCGTAGCGCAGCGCGCTAACCACTACACCAACCGCTCCCCACGCACACGCACGCACACACACACGTACGTACCCAAATACGCATCGCCACCACCGCCACCACCACCACACGGCTCCATCTCCTGCCCTGTGCCCCGTCGTGTCTCTGGTTGTGCTGCGTCGCCACAACAGAGGATCAGCGGTCGAGGCATCCACCCCTCCCTGCGGATGTTCGGCCAGTCCCTGGCAGGTGGACTCGACCTGGATGACAATGGCTTCGCAGGTGACGCTGTGTGCGGATGTCTGTGTGTGCCTGTGTGTGCCTGTGTGTGTGTGTGTGTATATACGTGTGTGTGTGTACGTGTGTGTGCGTGTGTGTCCGTGTGCTCGTGTCTGTGTGTGCCTGTGTGCCTGTGTGTGTGTGTGTATACGTGTGTGTGTGTACGTGTGTGTGCGTGTGTGTGCGTGTGCTCGTGTCTGTGTGTGCCTGTGTGTGCCTGTGTGTGCGTATGTATACGTGTGTGTGTGTACGTGTGTGTGCGTGTGTGTGCGGGTGCTCGTGTCTGTGTGTGTACGTGTGTGTGCGTGTGTGTGTGTGTGCGTGTCTGTGTGTGCGTGTGTGTGTACGTGTGTGTGTACGTGTCTGTACGTGTGTGTGTGCGTGTCTGTACGTGTGTGTGTGCGTGTGTGTACGTGTGTGTGCGTGTGTGTCTGTACGTATATGTGTAGGGGAGCGGTGGTGTAGCGGTTAGCGCGCTGCGCTACGAACCTGGCGACCCGGGTTCGATTTCCGCTCACGGCCAACACCGGTGACGACTATCTGAACCGGTCCTGGGCCTCCCCTAGGTCGACTCAGCCTCAAATGAGTACCTGGTGTGATGTGTAAACGTCGTCACTAGGGAAACAAAGGCGGCCGAGCGTGGTGTTGGCCACCCACCCCCTCGTGTGCCGTGCCGGCCTTTATAGCTGCTCGCTACCAGCACTTGCCCCTACAGTCTGTTAAGGCTATACGGGGGATCTTTGTCTTTGTGCATGGGGAGTGGTGATTGTGGTTGTTATTACGCCACGCTCTGAACCCGCTGACCCCGAGTTCGATGCCCTCTCAGGCCCAACACCAGTGACGGTTATCTGAACCGGTCCTGGACCTCCCCTAGGTCAACTTAGACTCAATAAATATCTTGTGCGGTGTTGGGGAGACAAAGGCGGTCCAGGCGTGGTGCTGGTGACACCACCCACTCGTGTGCCGTGCTGGCCGTCATCGGTGCTGCTCGCTAACAACACGTGCCCTCACAGTCTGTATGGGGAGCGTGGGATCTTTGTCTGTGTGAGCAAAGTAATCATCGCCTGCAGCTGCTTTGTCCACATCTGGGGCAAGTAGTTGCCCTCCAAGCTCGCCGCATTCATACGCAAGCGTGTGTGCAAAAAGCCACTGCGAGTGGCCACCTGGAATGTTCGAACGCTAGCTACGGAGGAGAGGCTGCCACTTTGTCGGGAGCTGGACCGGTACCGCCTGGATCTCTGCGGTATTAAGGAGGTCCGGTGGACCGGCTCTGGCTCCAGTCACCATGAGGGGTGGACAGTCCTCTACTCAAGGCAGGAGACTGCCAAACAACAGGGAGTGGCTCTTCTTCTGAATAAAAGAATGAAGGGGGTGTTGGAGCGTGGCAGTGAGGTGTGGGAATCTGTAAGCCCCAGGTTACTATGGGCTCGCATTCCCATCAACCGAAGGCGAGGAGTGGTGGTTGTGGTTATTTATGCCCCCACCGAAGATGAACATCCGTGGGGGGGATGCAGGCCAAGGCCGATGAGTCAGATGCCTTCTATGACCTCCTGTCACAGGTGCTGGCTAACGTGGCCCCTCACGATAGAGTCATCCTGTTGGGTGACTTCAATGCTCGAGTGAGTCATGATGCTGAAACCTGGGCTGGAGTGATTTGAAGGCATGGGCCAGATCAGCTCAATAACAACGGTAGGAGGCTGCTATAATTCTGTCCAGCCCATGGGCTTGTAATTACCAACACGCTGTTCCGGCATTGGCACATCAACACAACATCGTGGATGCACGCCGGATCCAAGCACGGACATCTGCTGGACTATATGGTAACGGAACAGCGGTTGCGGGCCCATGTCCTTGACACCAGGAACTACCGTGGAGCTGATTTGCCCACTGAATATTGCCTTGTCATCTGTAAGATGGGCCTGCCATTCTTCCACTCTGGTGGTGGATGTACACGCAGGATCCCATTCAAACCCACAGTGGCCTGGTCTCAACTAGCTGGTAAAAGTTGCAAGCGAGAATTTCATCATCACTTGCAGCTGCTTTGGGTACATGGTCCAGAAATCCCCAGATACCCTAGCAGATGGAGGAGGTGTTCCAGCTGGCTGAGAAAAAGCGACAGGCCCACTCCCACCGTGTACAGCATCCCACGTTGGAGAATGAGGAGGCTTACCGCACCTTTCACTCGGAGGCTTGGAGAGCCATGCGGCGCGGTAATGATGGGTGGTGGTCGAAGTTTTCTGAGGAGATGAGGTCTGCCTCAGCAGCCCGCGATCGCAAATCTATCTTTAACTCCATCAAACTTGCAGTGCCACACCATCATGAGGAGAAAGAAAGGTGATCTGATCTCCGACCCCCAGGAACAGGTTTGCAGATTGGCTGAGCATTTATGTGAAGTCTTGGGGAAGAGAAACCTCTCAGCATGGAAAACATCATTTGGCAAAGTGGAGATGACCCTGCTGAGGCTGCAGTGCCTCAAATATTGTAAGAAGTAGTCACCCCCTGGAGTGGCTGGCTGAAGTGACATCTGTTGAGGAAGTACAGAAGGCGATCCAGAGTCTGAGACCAGGAAAAGCACCGGGCAGAGATGACCTCCCAAAGCGAAATGCTGAGAGAGGTTGACGTTTTGCACAGACTGCACTGTATGACATCATAATAACAGTCTGGACCACTGGACAGATTCCATGGGATTGGAAGGATGCCCTGGTTGTCCCCCTGTTTAAAAAGGGGGACCGTACAGACTGTAAAAACTATAGGGGTTCTCACTCCTCAGTGTGCCGGGAAAGGTCCTGGCAAGGAGTGTTCAACATCACCTTGCTAGGCATGCTGAGGAGAGGCTTGCAGAGCCCCAATGTGGTTTCAGGCCCCAATGTGGTTTCAGGCCAGGGTGGTCCTGCACAGATGCCATATTTTCTGTCCGTTTGCTACAGCAGAGGTGTGGGGAATTCCAACAACACCTACATCTTTGCTTTATTGACCTGGTCAAGGCCTATGATACCATCAGTAGGCCTGGGCTCTGGTTTGTTTTCTTTGTGCTTTCGGAGTCTCTGCTCACAATCATTCAGGCCATTCAAGATGGTGGGCAGTCCTGGGTAAAACTGCATGGCCGGGAGTCGGAGCCATTCCCTGTTCACCTTGGGGTGCGAAAGGAATGTCTTTTGGCTCCCACATTATTTAACATCTTTTTCGACCACGTAGTTTGTGAAGCCCTCTATGGCTGTACTGGAGGAATCTCCATCTGGTACAAATAGAATGGGAGGCTGATCGATGCCTGGGTGCGGTTAAGGGATGGCTTTCTATTGGTCAACCATGTTATGCATGCTGATGATCTGGACCTTACCATCAGCCCCATCAAAACTAAGCCCCTGCGTGGATATGTTGTGCCATCAAACACTCCACCCCCACAATCCCCTTTGGTGATGGGGCAGTTCTGGAGAGAGTGGAGAGTTTTCCATACCTGGGCTGTGTGCTTATAACCAGCTCCGGTTTGACAATAGAAGTCTCACTCCGAATCAGTCAAGCAGCATTATATTTTCATCGGTAGTGTAATGCTGCATTGAAACTACCCGGTTTGTTGCTTCGCACAAACCTTCGGGTCTTCTCGGCCATGGTCATGCACTCCCTTCTCTATGCTTGCAAAAAGTGGACCCTCCTAATGAAACATCTTCGCTGATTAGAACATTTAGGCTGGCCTGCTTACGATCCATCCTGGGATTAATCAAGCTGGATTGTGTGAGGAGCTCACAAATTACTGAAAGATCAAGACAAAGTCCCATCAGTGAGCTCCTCCGGCAGGCAAGGCTGCCCAGCCACCGCATGCCTAAATAGCTTTTGTTCGACCGGATAGAGATGGCTAAATGGGCGTTGTATGGGCTAGAGAGGAGATGGAGTGATGTGATACAAGAGGACATGAAGCTGAGTGGACTTGCCAATGACTAGTACCAGCGGTGTCAAGATCGGCCTGTATGGAGGAGGCTTATGAATGACGCTACTGGGCAGTTGGAGGCAGTCGCCCTCCAACAACAACGGAGGTCAGAGGAGCGACGCTCACAACACTGAGCGGAGCGGTGGGTGTCTAAAACACAGCAAGTTGGCATAGTAGGGGGGCACAGGTGGTGCATCAGCTAGTCATCTCAGTCAGTCAACCCATGGCACCTGGGTCTGTCCCGTGACCTCCTTCCAGCAGGCGTTCGACACTACACGTGGCATTAAAGTGCACATGGCCTGGCACAAGCGCTATGGTGACATCACCGCCACTTAGTGGTGAATGGTTGTTGATGATGATGATGAATGTGTGCTGGCGATTTTCGTGGGTGGCTCTTTTTGACGCCATCACAGCTGTTTCTAAAAATATCGTTGTCTCTGCAGACCTCACGGTCGGAGCCTATGGTTCAAATGCAGCCGTGCTGATCAGGTAAATAGCCTTGCCTTGACCCTCCCCATGACCTGGCACCTTGACCAGACCCAACACACATACAATATATTGACCCTGGACTGGCCTTGTATGACCCTGACAAAACCTGAACAACCTGTGATCGTGTCTCTCCCAACCGTGTCCACCCCCCCCCCATATCCCCCGCCGTGTCCGCCCCGTGTTCACCCCTTGTCCCCCCCCCGCCCCGTGTCCACCCCGTGTCCACCTCGTGTCCACCCCGTGTCCACCTCGTGTCCACCCCGTGTCCACCCCGTGTCCACCTCGTGTCTTCCCCAGGGCTCGTCCCGTGGTGGACGTCTCGGCCTCCGTGGTGCTGCCGCGAGGGATCAACGTGACGGGCCCGGGGTGCGGCCGTGGGGGCCGTGGGGCCCACTGCTTCCCGGCCTCCGTCTGCTTCTCCTACTCGGGGCCCGGCCTCGCTCACAGCCTCGGCAAGGCCCACCTCAGACGCAGCCCTCACCACGGCACTCACCACGGCACTCACCACGACATTCACCACGACACTCACCACGACACTCACCACGACACTCACCACGACGACCCTCGTCACGACACTCACCACGACACTCACCCACTCGTAATCTCACTCACCATCTCACTCACCCACTCGTAATCTCACTCACCCACTCCCCATCTCACTCACCCACTCACCATCTCACTCACCCACTCATCATCTCACTCACCCACTCACCACCTCACTCGCCCACTCACCATCTCACTCACCCACTCGTCATCTCACTCGCCCACTCACCATCTCACTCACCCACTCACCATCTCACTCACCATCTCACTCACTCACTCACCACCTCACTCACCCATTCACCATCTCACTCACCCTCTCACTCACCCACTCACCACCTCACTCACCCACTCGTCATCCCACTCACCATCTCACTCACCCACTCGTCACCTCACTCACCCACTCGTCATCCCACTCACCATCTCACTCACCCACTCACCATCTCACTCACCCACTCGTCATCCCACTCACCATTTCACTCACCCACTCACCATCTCACTCACCCACTCGTCATCCCACGCGTTCACTCCGGAGCGTGCAAGCGAGAGTCTATCGTGCCCTCTAGAGTTCCACCGTTGATGTTGTTGATGTTGTTGATGTTGTTGATGTTGTTGATGTTGTTGATGTTGTTGATGTTGTTGATGTTGTTGTTGTTTAGACATGCGGTACGAGCTGATCGCCGACTCGGTGAAGCAGCACTCGGGGCTCCCCGTGCGGCTCTCGCTGGAGAGCGCCGAGGGAGCGAGCTCCGTGCCAGGCTCGGTGCGCCTCGCCATCCACGAGCAGCGCTGCCTGCAGCACGTGGCCTACGTGAAGGCGAGTGACTCACCGAGCGAGCAGCTCCCTGCTGCTGCTGCTGCTGTGCTGCCTCTCAAACCACCTGCCCACTCGTGAACCGAGACAGATACCGGCTTGCCTCACCTCCACAACAACAACAACCGCCATCCGCCACTAAGTGGCGGCGATGTCACCCGGGTGCCATGGGTTGACTGGGCGATGCACCACCTTTGCCCCCTACTGTGGCAACTCACCTCTCCACCCACCTTGCCACCCACACGAAAAACCTCACCTCTTTAACACGGATCAGGTTTCCGCGACCTATATTATTCATAATGAAGGTTTTTGGGCGAGATCGCGTAAGTATAAATGTGTCGTAAACCTCCACCACCCGTCGTAAATTGTAAATGTTGTGGATTTACTCTCCAACACACCGGTGGGCGGAAGTAGTAAACTAACTGGCGCCTGCTGTTCACGTGACAAACCTCGCTGGCTGTGTCGGGTCGTGGAAGGTTACGACACATTCATACTTACTCCTTCACCTACCCAGATGCCTGCCTGCCAACCTGCCACCTCTTGACTAAGCCAGCTACCACGCGCCCGACAGAGTTGCCCACCCACCAACTCACTGCCTGCCAGGACCATCCGCTCGCCGCACAGCGGAGAACCCGGCCTCCTCATCGCGGTCGGGCAGCATAACCCCCGAGTCGGACTCGGCGTTGTCATCGGCGTCTCTCTGACCCCTGACCTCCCCGGCTTCCCCTCCACCACCCCCATGCTCTCTCCCACCCCCGCACGTCTCACAGGGGAAGGTGAACGATGTAGTTGCGCCCTTGGTGTTCGAAGTCCGCTACTCGCTGGCGCACGGGGAAACGGCGGAAGACGAGCCGAGCGGCGCCAGCCGGAGGAGGAGGAGCGACTCCCCCGGGGGTGGCAACAACACCGGCAGCGACGGTGCCGGCGATGGCGGTGGTGGTGGTGGTGGTGACGATGATGACGATGACCTCCCCGCGCTGCGACCTGTCATCAGATGGAGGGAGCGACACAGGGATTCGGCGAGAAGTGCGGTGAGGAAACCACAACATTCACGAATCGCTAATCCCTGTCGTCTCAGAGCCCAGATTCCAAATCCCAGATTCTCAAATCCCAGAATCTGAAAGACTAACTTCTCAAAATCATAGATTCTCAAATCCCAGATGGTCAAAACTCAAATTCCTCAATCTAAAAATCTATATTTCCCAACATACGAGTCTCTATAAAATTAGATTCCCAAAACCCACATTTCCAAATCCCAGATTCCACAAGCTTTGGACTAATGCGGTGCGGGAGGATGCGGAGCTGAGTGGTACCAGCGGTGTCAAGATCGGCCTTTGTGGAGGAGGAGGCTCGTGAAGGACGCTGCTGCTGGGCAGTTGGAGGCAGTCGCCATCCAGCAACAGCAGAGGGCAGAGGAGCGACGCTCACAACAACGAGCGGAGCGTCGGGCAGATACAGGGCAGCACGTTAGCCCCGGAGGGGGCACAGCTGGTACATCTGCCAGTTATCTCCGTCAACCCACGGCACCTGGGTCTGTCCCGTGACCTGTCAGCGAGCCTTCAACACTTGGCCTCGGAGTGCACCTGGCCTGGCACAAGCGCCGTGGTGACGTCACTGCCAATATGTGGCGAATGGCGGTTATTGTTGTTGTCAAGCATGCGTGTGTGCGTGTGTCTGTGTGTGCGTGTATCTGTGTGTGTGCGTGTGTCTGTGTGTATGTCTGTGTGCGTGCATGTGTCGGTGTGCGTGCTTGTGTCTGTGTGTGTCTGTGTGTGTGTCTGCGTGTGTCTGTGTGTGCGTGTGTCTGTGTGCGTCTGTGTGCGTGTGTCTGTGTGTGTGCGTGTGTCTGTGTGTGTGTCTGTGTGTGTGTCTGTGCGTGTGTGTGCGTGTGTCTGTGTGTGTGCGTGTGTCTGTGTGTATGTCTGTGTGCGTGCGTGTGTCGGTGTGCGTGCTTGTGTCTGTGTGTGTCTGTGTGTGTCTGTGTGTGTGTCTGCGTGTGTCTGTGTGTGTCTGTGTGTGCGTGTGTCTGTGTGCGTCTGTGTGTGTAGACAAAGTTTGAGAGGAACTGCCACACCGACGTGTGCCCGGCGGACCTCCGAGTGAACGGGACCCTGGTGCTGCCCAGGTGCGTGCGCCGCACAGCGCACCACCGCCGCCCTCTCGCCCACGACGGCCACGTTTGATGACGCCGGTGGCGACAGCCGCGCCGGGGGCCGCCGCGGTGACGAGGGGGGGTTGAGTCGTAATCCGTGTTTGCTGCACGCGACGCTACAGTCGTCCAGATGATGAGGACGATGACGAGGGCGATGATGACAATGACGATGATGAGGATGGCGACAACGGCGGCGACGACAGTGATGATGATGATGATGACGGTGATGACGATGATGACGGTGAAAATGGTGAGGGTGATGATGATGGTGATAATGGTGAGGGGGATGATGACGGTGATGATGGTGAGGGTGATGATGATGGTGATAATGGTGAGGGTGATAATGACGGTGATGATGGTGAGGGCGATGATGACGTCAATGATGATGACGACGGCAGTGGTGGCGGGCCATGTATGCGCGTCCGTGTCTGTGTGTGTGTGTACGTGTGCGTGTGTGTGAGTGTGTGTACGTGTGCGTGTGTGGGGAGTGGTAGTGTAGCGGATAGCGCGCTGCGCTATGAACCTGGCGACCCGGGTTACATTCCTGCTCACAGCCAACACCAGTGACGATTATCTAAACCGGTCTTGGGCGTCCCCTAGGTCGGCTCAGCCTCAAATGAGTACCTGGTGTGGTGTGTAAACATCGCCACTGGGGAGACAAAGGTGGTCGGGCGTGATGCTGGCCACCCACCCCATCGTGTACCGTTCCGGCCTTCATAGGTGCTCGCTAACAGCACTTGCCCCAACAGTCTGTTAAGGCTATACGGGAATCTTTGTCTTTGTGTCTGCGTGCGTGCACGTGTGTGTGCGTGCGTCTGTGTGCGTGTCTGCGTTCGTGTGTCTGTGTGCGTGTGTCTGTGTGCATGCGTGCGCGTGTGTGTGCGTGCGCATGTGTGCGTGTGTGTGCGTGCGTGTGCGCGTGTGTGTGCGTGCGCATGTGTCTGTGTGTGAGTGTGTGCGTGTGTGCGTGTGTGCGTGTCTGTGTGCGTGTGTGTGCGTGTGTCTGTGTGCGTGTGTGTGCGTGTGTCTGTGTGCGTGTGTGTGCGTGTGTCTGTGTGCGTGTGTGTGCGTGCGTCTGTGTGCGTGTCTGCGTTCGTGTGTCTGTGTGCGTGTGTCTGTGTGCATGCGTGCGCGTGTGTGTGCGTGCGCATGTGTGCGTGTGTGTGCGTGCGTGTGCGCGTGTGTGTGCGTGCGCATGTGTCTGTGTGTGAGTGTGTGCGTGCGTGTGTGCGTGTGTGTGCGTGTCTGTGTGCGTGTGTCTGTGTGCGTGTGTGCGTGTCTGTGTGCGTGTGTGTGCGTGTCTGTGTGCGTGTGTGTGCGTGTGTCTGTGTGCGTGTGTGTGCGTGCGTGTGCGTGCGTGTGTGTGCGTGCGTGCCCGCAGGCCGCTGTCTGACCGCCCCTACCTGGTGGTGGGCGAGGTGCGCTCGCTGCGCGTCAACCTGAGCCTGGCCAACGTGGGGGAGGACGCCTTCGACCCCACGCTGCACCTCCACTTCCACCCGCGTCTCTTCCTCGTCAACGCCTGGGACACGGTGAGCCCCGCCCCGCGCCGCCACCTCCTCATCGTCCTCCTCCTCCTCGCCGTCGCCGCCACCGCCGTCTTCGGCCGTGCTCTACCCACTGCTGGATGATTTTTTTGTTCGGGAAAAATTGACGTCGCGGTCACTGAGCGACAGGTGCCACGTCGCGACGCGTGAGGGGGAGTGTGTGGGAGTGTGAGGGAGTGTGAGGGAGTGTGGGGAGTGTGAGGGAGTGTGAGGGGAGCGGTGGCGCAGCGGTCGGCGCTACGCAGCGCTACGAACCCGGCGACCCGAGTTCGATTCCCGTTGACGGCCAACAGCGGTGACGATTATCTGAACCGGTCGGAGGCCTTCCCTAGGTCGGCTCGGCCTCAAATGAGTACCACGGTGCAGTGTGCAGTAAACATCGCCACTGGGGAGACAAAGGCGGCCGGGCGTGGTGTCGACCACCGACTCCCCCTGTGTGCCGTGCCGGCCTTCACAGGTGCTACTCGCGAACCGCACTTGCCCCTACAGTCCGTTGAGGCTACACGGGGGACCTTTGTCTTTGTGTGCAGGAGGAGGAGAAGGCGCTGAGCTGTGAGGTGCTGGAGGGGACTTTGCTGCAGTGCAGCGTGGGGTTCCCCTTCCTCAAGTCTCACACCAAGGTGTGGGTCACGTGGGGTGTGGGTCACGTGGGGTGGGGGTCACGTGGGGTGTGGGTCACGTGGGGTGTGGGTCACGTGGGGTGTGGGTCACGTGAGGTGTCGGTCACGTGAGGTGTGGGTCACGTGGGGTGTGCGTCACGTGGGGTGTGGGTCACGTGAGGTGTGGGTCACGTGGGGTGTGGGTCACGTGGGGTGTGGGTCACGTGGGGTGTGGGTCACGTGTGGGTCACGTGTGAGGTGTGGGTCACCGTGCGGTGTGGGTCACGTGGGGTGTGCGTCACGTGAGGTGTGGGTCACGTGAGGTGTGGGTCACGTGTGGTGTGGGTCACGTGAGGTGTGGGTCACGTGGGGTGTGCGTCACGTGAGGTGTGGGTCACGTGAGGTGTGGGTCACGTGTGGCGTGGGTCACGTGAGGTGTGGGTCACGTGTGGTGTGGGTCACGTGAGGTGTGGGTCACGTGAGGTGTGGGTCACGTGAGGTGTGGGTCACGTGAGGTGTGGGTCACGTGGGGTGTGCGTCACGTGAGGTGTGGGTCACGTGTGGTGTGGGTCACGTGTGGTGTGGGTCACGTGAGGTGTGGGTCACGTGTGGTGTGGGTCACGTGAGGTGTGGGTCACGTGAGGTGTGGGTCACGTGAGGTGTGGGTCACGTGAGGTGTGGGTCACGTGTGGTGTGGGTCACGTGAGGTGTGGGTCACGTGAGGTGTGGGTCACGTGAGGCGTGGGTCACGTGTGGTGTGGGTCACGTGTGGTGTGGGTCACGTGTGGTGTGGGTCACGTGTGGTGTGGGTCACGTGAGGTGTGGGTCACGTGTGGGGTGGGTCACGTGAGGTGTGGGTCACGTGTGGTGTGGGTCACGTGTGGTGTGGGTCACGTGAGTTGTGGGTCACGTGAGGTGTGGGTCACGTGAGGTGTGTGTCACGTGAGATGTGGGTCACGTGAGGTGTGGGTCACGTGTGAGGTGTGGGTCACGTGTGGTGTGGGTCACGTGTGAGGTGTGGGTCACGTGTGAGGTGTGGGTCACGTGTGGTGTGGGTCACGTGTGAGGTGTGGGTCACGTGAGGTGTGTGTCACGTGAGATGTGGGTCACGTGAGGTGTGGGTCACGTGTGAGGTGTGGGTCACGCGTGGTGTGTGGTGTGTGATGGTGTGGCGTGTGACGGCGTGGTGTGTGATGGTGTGGTGTGTGATGGTGTGGTGTGTGATGGTGTGGTGTGTGATGGTGTGGTGTGTGATGGTGTGGTGTGTGATGGTGTGGTGTGTGATGGTGTGGTGTGTGATGGTGTGGTGTGTGATGGTGTGGCGTGTGACGGCGTGGTGTGTGATGGTGTGGTGTGTGATGGTGTGGTGTGTGATGGTGTGGTGTGTGATGGTGTGGTGTGTGATGGTGTGGGGTGTGATGGTGTGGTGTGTGATGGTGTGGTGTGTGATGGTGTGGTGTGTGATGGTGTGGTGTGTGATGGTGTGGTGTGTGACGGCGTGGTGTGTGATGGTGTGGTGTGTGACGGTGTGGTGTGTGGTGTGTGACGGTGTGGTGTGTGATGGTGTGTGGTGTGTGATGGTATGGTGTTTGACGGCGTGGTGTGTGGTGTGTGACGGTGTGGTGTGTGATGGTGTGTGGTGTGTGATGGTATGGTGTGTGACGGCGTGGTGTGTGGTGTGTGACGGTGTGGTGTGTGATGGTGTGTGGTGTGTGATGGTATGGTGTGTGACGGCGTGGTGTGTGGTGTGTGACGGTGTGGTGTGTGGTGTGATGGTGTGGTGTGTGACGGTGTGGTGTGGTGTGGTGTGTGACGCTGTGGTGTGACGGTGTGGTGTGTGATGCTGTGGTGTGCGGTGTGTGGTGTGTGACGGCGTGGTGTGTGACGGTGTCGTGTGTGATGGTGTGGTGTGTGACGACGTGGTGTGTGGTGTGTGACAGTGTGGTGTGTGACGGTGTGGTGTGTGACGGTGTGGTGTGTGATGCTGTGCTGTGTGACGCTGTGGTGTGTGACTGCATGGTGTGTGGTGTGTGACTGCATGGTGTGTGGTGTGTGACGCTGTGTGGTATGACGCTGTGGTGTGCCTCAGCGCGAGGTGAGCGTGCTGTTCGACAGCAGCCAGCTGAGCGGCGAGGACGATCTGCTCGAGTTCAGCGCTCAGATCACCAGGTGAGGTGCCCACCACCACCCCAGCTACCCACGCGGTGTGCCGACCACCCCAGCTACCCACGCGGTGTGCCCACCACCCCTCGTGGTCACCCGCCTGGCGCTCATCTTCCGTGTGTGCGTCATCTATCCAGCTGTGTGTACGTGTGGGCTGCCGCGAGCCTGCTATGAGCCTGCTATGAGCCTGCTATGAGGAGTTTCTTCTCTCCTCTTCTCAGTCAGAACATCGAGCACAACGAGACCCTGGGCGACAACCACGAGCTGCTGTCCATCCCCCTCCGCTACGAGGTGGACACCACCCTGCACGGGTCGGTAGACATCCGCGGAAGCTCCCTCACCACACACCCCGTGTCTGTAGACATCCGCGGAAGCTCCCTCACCACACACCCCGTGTCTGTAGACATCCGCGGAAGCTCCCTCACCACACACCCCGTGTCTGTAGACATCCGCGGAAGCTCCCTCACCACACACCCCGTGTCTGTAGACATCCGCGGAAGCTCTCTCACTACATGCTGATGATGCTGCTGCTGGTGCTGCTGCTGGTGCTGCTGCTGGTGATGATGCTGCTGGTGATGATGCTGCTGATGATGCCGATGATGATGCTGCTGATGATGCAGATGATGATGATGCTGCAGCTGATGTTGCTGCTGGTGATGATGCTGCTGATGATGATGCAGATGATGATGATGCTGCTGCTGCTCCTCGTGATGTTGCTGCTGATGATGCTGCTGATGATGCTGATGCTTCTGCTGGTGATGATGATACTGATGATGCTGATGCTGCTGATGATGATGCTTCTGCTGGTGATGCTGCTGCTGTGCATGAGTGCAGCTCGGTGTCTCAGACGTCGATCCTGTACGGGGGCGACGCGTCGGACCGCGAGGCCGTCGCTCTGCCCGGCCAGCCGTGCCACTTCCAGTGGCTCAACTTCACATTCCAGGTGAGCCGACTCACCCTCACCTGGTGAGCTCACCTCTTGTACCTCACCTGGTGAGCCGCTCACCCTCACCTGGTGAGCTCACCTCTTGTACCTCACCTGGTGAGCCGCTCACCCACAACCTGGTGAACTCTTGTACTTCACCTTCCAGGTGAGCCGCTCACCCTTACCTGGTGAGCCGAATCACCCTCACCTGGTGAGCCGCTCACCCTCACCTGGTGAGTTCTTGTACCTCACCTGGGTGAGCCGCTCACCCTCACCTGGTGAGCCGAATCATCCTCACCTGGTGAGCCGAATCACCCTCACCTGGTGAGCTCTTGTACCTCACCTGGGTGAGTCGACTCACCCTCACCTGGTGAGCCGACTCACCCTCACCTGGTGAGCCGACTCACCCTCACCTGGTGAGCTCTAGTACCTCACCTGGGTGAGCCACTCACCCTCACCTGGTGAGCTCTAGTAACTCACCTGGGTGAGCCGCTCACCTGCTTTAGGAAGGTGTGATCGTCCGGGTGTGGGCACCCGTGTCCCCGTGTTGTAGCCATGTCCCCATGTCCTCATGTCCCCGTGTCTCTACGTCTCCATGTCCCCGTGTTGTAGCCATGTCCCCGTATCCCCATGTCCTCATGTCCCCATGTCCCCGTGTCTCCATGTCTCTACGTCCCCATGTCCCCATGTCCCCGTGTCCCCGTGTCTCCATGTCTCTACGTCCCCATGTCCCCGTGTTTTTCAACTCAAGACCCCATGTCCCCGTGTCTCCCTGTCGCTCTGTCTCTGTGTATCAATGTCCCCATGACCCCGTGTCCTGGTGTCCCTTTGACCCCGTCTCCCCCGTGTCCCCATGTCCCAACATCTCCATGCCTCTGTATCGACGTCCCCCATGTGTGTACGTGCGTTGAACTTCTTTCGCACCGTACGTAGCCAACCCTGCTCATCGGAGGTGCGGGGGAATGACAACAACCTAAACACAAAAGGAGTGAGTTTCTCAATTTAGACGATGATTTAAAAGTGCACGCAGCTCCCAGCGGCTTCCTCATATCGGAAGGGAAGAGCGTTCCAGACGGCCGCAGAAGCGCGTCTGAAAGCGCCGATGTCCGTTGTCTTTGCTCGACGGTTCACCAAAAGCCGGACTTTGCGTGACGATGGTTGATGACTCCTTGACGAGATCGGCAGCGACGTGTTGTGCTCGATTTGTGGCCCAGCTCTCAGCAACGCATTCGGGCCGGCAATCTGTCCGCACCCACTCAGTCCAGACGACCGCGGGAGCTTGTCTGAAAGTGCCCCGCGATGACGATGCGGTGAGCGCCTTCAATGGCCGCGGGGAGGATTAGCGGAGTCCACGCGATGGTGTCCCCCGCCGTGACCCCCCGTGACCCCCCCGTGACCCCCCCGTGACCTCCCGTGACCCCATACCCTCCGTGGTGTCCCCCGTGTCTGGGCCCTCGCAGGCATTGAACCTGGGCCCCAGTCGGGCCCCTGGGGCCTTTCTCGAGGTGCTCATCCCGTCTCGCCTGCACCCCGAGGGGCCGCACGCCCTGCAGCTGCACGAGGTGCAGGTGAGCACAGCAGCAGCAGCAGCGGCGTTATCATCATCAGCAGCAGCAGCGGCATCATCATCATCAGCGTTACCATCATCAGCATTATCATCATCATTATTCTATCATCACAATCCTCATCAGCGTTATCATCATCATCAGCATTATCATCATCAGCGTTATCATCATCATCATCAGCGTTATCATCATCATCATCAGCGTTATCATCATCGGCACTATCAGCAGCGTCACCACAATCATCGTCGTCGTCAGCATGGTCGTTGTCTCCACGGAGACTCTGCGGCGCTCACGATCCCCGCCGCCCCGTGCCCCCCGGCTGTGCAGGTGTCCCCGGGGGGTGGGGGGGGGTCGTGCTCCGCCCCGGCGCTGGGGGCCGAGTGCGTGTCGCCCGAGCACAGTGGCGAGAGCGTCTACCAGCTGTTCAGCTTCTTCAGCAAGAGTGGCCGCACGGTGCTGGTGAGTGGGCGTCTGTGTGTGTGTGTGTCGGTGTGTGTGTGTCCGTGTGCCGATGATTTGGTAATAGCTGATCATTCAGAAGAGGAGTTGGAGACGCTGCTGCTGAGACTGGAGCGTGCCACTAAGAGGTGGGGCCTTACCATCAGTCCCACCAAAACTAAGCACCTGCCTGGGTATTTTGTACCATCGGACACTCCACCCCCACAACTGCCAATCGGTGATGGGGTAGTAGTGGAGAGAGTGGAGAGTTTCCCATACCTGGGCAGTGTGCTTATGACCGGCTCCAGTTTAACAGCAGAGGTCTCACTCCGAATCAGTCGAGCGGCAATATCTTTTCACCGGTTGCGTAACGCTGTGTGGAAGCTACCTGGTCTGTCGCTCCGCACGAAGCTTCAGGTCTTCTCGGCCACAGTCATTCCCTCCCTTCTCTACGCTTGCGAAACGTGGACCCCCCTAATGGAGCATCTTCGCCGGTTGTAAACATTTAGGCTGGCCTGCCTACGATCCATCCTGGGTTTAACCAGGCAGGATTGTGTGAGGAGCTCACAAATCCTTGAAAGATCTGGGCAAAGTGCCATCGGTGAGCTCCTCTGGCAGGCAAGGCTGCGTTGGCTGGGTCATGTAGCCCGCATGCCCAGCCACCGCATGCCTAAACAGCTTTTCTTCAGCCGGATCGAGGGGGCTAAACGGATGCAGCACGGGCAAGAGAAGAGATGAAGTGATGTGGTACAGGAGGACGTGGAGCTGAGTGGACTTGCCGTTGACTGGTACCAGCGGTGTCAAAATCGGCCTCAGTGGAGGAGGCTCGTGAAGGACGCTACTGGGCAGTTGGAGGCAGTCGCCCTCCAACAACAACGGAGGGCAGAGGAGCGACGCTCACAACAACGAGCGGAGCGCTGGGTGGCTAAAGCACAGCAAGTTGGTACAGTAGGGGGCACGGGTGGTGCATCAGCCAGTCATCTCGGTCATCTCGGTCAGTCGACCAGTGGCACCTGCTGGGTCTGCCCCGTGACCTCCTGCCAGCGGGTGTTCGACACTTCACGTGGCCTCAAGGTGCACTTGGCCTGGCACAAGCGTCGTGGTGACGTCACCGCCACTTAGTAGCGAATGGCAGTTGTTGTTGTTGTGTCCGTGTGTGTGTCCGTGTGTGTGTGGGGAGCGGTAGTATAGCGGTTAGCGCACTGCGCTACGAACCTGGCGACCCGAGTTTGATTCCCGCTCATGGCCAAAATCACCCATAAATGAGTACCTGATGTGGCGTGTAAGCATCGCCCACCCCTCGTGTGCCGTGCCAGGCCTTCGTAGGTGCTCGCTAACAGCACTTGTACCTGCAGCCTGTTAAGGCCGGTACACGCACGCGCAAAGTGCACCTAGCTTGGCACAACGTCATCGCCGGTGGCTGCCCGCGGCCGCGTACGGGGGATTGTGGGTAAACGGCGCTGCATTGTGGGTAGGACTGCGCGTCGTGGCCGGAGGGCTGCGTGTCGGTGCGCTGCGAGCTGGGACCCTTCGCCCCGGGGGAGACGCCCAGTGTCAGCGTCAAGGCGCTGCTCAACACCGACATCCTGCAGCAGGTAGCCCCCCCTCGCCCCCACCTGCCCCCCCCACATCCCCCCTCCCCCCCACCAGGACCCCCCCCCCACATCCCCCCTCCCCCCCACCCGGACCACCCCCCCCACATCCCCCCTCCCCCCCACCCGGACCCCCCGCCACGTCCCCCCCACCCGGACCACCCCCCCCCCGCCGACGTACCCCCCCCCACGCCCAGTCACCCACCTGGCCCCCCCTTTCCCCCCACCTGCCCCCCGAGTACCTGGCCCGCCTTGTAAGTTCAACGTCGGCAATGGGGGAGACAAAGGCGGGCGTGGTTCTGGCCGCGCCGCGGCTCGCGAGCTGCCCTTGCCCCAGCAGCATGTGTGGGCTAACCGGGGTGCCTTTGCCTGTGCCTGTGCAGGAGAGCTCCTCGGTGATCCAGTTCTCGGCGCGTGCCGAACTCCGCGTGCCGCACTCGGACCGAGTGGTGGAGCTCTCCACCGGCGCGCCGGGGACCATCGCGGTGAGACACCACCACCATCAACACCATCACCACCATCACCACCATCAACACCACCACCATCAAAACCATCAACACCACCATCAACACCATCAACACCATCAACACCACCACCACTATCACCACCACCAACACCACCAACACCATCACCACCATCACCACCATCAACACCACCACCGCTATCGTCACCATCACCACCATCGACGCCATCACCACTGTCAATGCCATCACCACCATCACCACCACCACCATCAACACCATCACCACCATCACCACCATCACCACCATCAACACCATCACCACCATCACCACCATCAACACCATCACCACCATCAACACCACCACCATCAACACCATCAACACCATCACCACCATCACCACCATCAACACCATCACCACCATCACCACCATCAACACCATCACCACCATCACCACCACCACCATCAACACCATCACCACCATCACCACCATCAACACCATCACCACCATCACCACCATCACCACCATCAACACCATCACCACCATCATCAGCATCACCACCATCACCACCATCACCATCAACACCATCAACACCATCACCACCATCACCACCATCAACACCATCAACACCATCAACATCAACACCATCAACACCATCACCACCATCACCACCATCAATACCATCACCACCATCAACACCATCACCACCATCACCACCACCACCATCAACACCATCACCACCATCACCACCATCAACACCATCAACACCATCACCACCATCAACACCATCACCACCATCACCACCATCATCAGCATCACCACCATCACCACCATCATCATCAACACCATCAACACCATCACCACCATCAACACCATCAACACCATCAACACCATCACCACTATCAACACCATCACCACCATCGACACCATCACCACCATCAAGACCACCACCATCAACACCATCACCACCATCAACACCATCAACACCATCACCACCATCAACACCATCACCACCATCACCACCATCAACACCATCAACACCATCAACACCATCACCACTATCGTCACCATCAACACCATCAACACCATCAACACCATCACCACTATCAACACCATCACCACCATCGACACCATCACCACCATCAACACCATCAACACCATCAACACCATCACCACTATCGTCACCATCACCACCATCACCACCATCACCACCATCACCACCATCACCACCACTATCGTCACCATCAACACCATCACCACCATCAACACCATCAACACCATCACCACCATCAACACCATCAACACCATCACCACCATCAACACCATCAACACCATCACCACCATCAACACCATCAACACCATCACCACCATCAACACCATCAACACCATCACCACCATCACCACCATCACCATCACCACCACCACCACCATCAACACCACACCATCACCACCATCACCACCATCACCACCATCAACACCATCACCATCACCACCATCAACACCATCAACACCATCACCACCATCAACACCATCAACACCATCGTCACCATCACTACCATCAACACCATCAACACCATCACCACCATCAACACCATCACCACAATCAACACCATCAACACCATCAACACCATCACCACCATCAACACCATCACCACCATCAACACCATCAACACCATCACCACTATCGTCACCATCACCACCATCAACACCATCACCACCATCAACACCATCAACACCATCACCACCATCGACACCATCAACACCACCACCATCACCACCACTATCGTCACCATCAACACCATCACCACCATCATCACCATCACCACCATCATCACCATCACCACCATCACGACCATCACCACCATCACCACCGTCAACACCATCACCACCGTCAACACCGTCACCACCATCACCACCATCAACACCATCACCACCATCAACACCATCACCACTCACCATCAACACCATCAACACCATCACCACCATCACCACCATCAACACCATCAACACCATCACCATCAACACCATCAACACCATCACCACCATCACCACCATCAACACCATCACCACCATCAACACCATCACCACCATCACCACCACCACCATCAACACCATCACCACCATCAACACCATCAACACCATCACCACCATCAACACCATCACCACCATCACCACCATCAACACCATCACCACCATCACCACCACTATCGTCACCATCAACACCATCAACACCATCACCACTCCCCATCAACACCATCACCACTCCCCATCAACACCATCACCACCATCAACACCATCAACACCATCACCACCATCAACACCATCACCACCATCACCACCATCAACACCATCAACACCATCACCACCATCACCACCACTATCGTCACCATCACCACCATCAACACCATCAACACCATCAACACCATCAACACCATCACCACCATCACCACCACTATCATCACCATCAACACCATCAACACCATCACCACCATCAACACCATCACCACCATCAACACCATCAACACCATCACCACCATCAACACCATCACCACAATCACCACCATCACCACCACTATCGTCACCATCAACACCATCACCACCATCAACACCATCAACACCATCACCACCATCATCACCATCACCACCATCAACACCATCAACACCATCAACACCATCAACACCATCACCACCATCAACACCATCAACACCATCAACACCATCAACACCATCACCACCATCAACACCATCAACACCACCATCACCATCAACACCATCACCACCACTATCGTCACCATCACCACCATCACCACCATCAACACCATCACCACCATCAACACCATCACCACCATCATCACCATCACCACCATCACGACCATCACCACCATCACCACCATCAACACCATCACCACCATCATCACCATCACCACCATCACCACCATCAACACCATCACCACCATCAACACCATCACCACCATCAACACCATCAACACCATCAACACCATCACGACCATCAACACCATCACCACCATCAACACCATCACCACCATCACCACCATCACCGCCATCATCACCATCAACACCATCACCACCATCAACACCATCACCACCATCAATACCACCATCGCCACCATCAACACCATCACCACCATCAACACCACCACCACCATCAACACCACCACCACCATCAACACCACCACCACCATCAACACCACCACCACCATCAACACCACCACCACCATCAACACCACCACCACCATCAACGCCACCACCACCATCAACGCCACCACCACCATCAATGCCATCACCGCTATCGTCACCATCGCCACTGTCGTCACCATCACTGCCATCACCACTATCGTCACCATCACCACCATCGACGCTATCACCGCCATCACCACTATCAATGCCATCACCACCATCAATGCCATCACCACTATCACTGCCATCACCACCATCAATGCCATCACCGCTATCGTCACCATCACTGCCATCGACGCTATCACTGCCATCACCACTATCACAGCCATCACCACCATCAACACCATCATCACCACCATCGCCGCCACGAACTCACCGACCTTCCGATCGCGAGCCGCTCGCTCCGCCGCTGAGCCGCCGTCAGTTTTGCACGCGTGCGCAAATGTCCTCGCACGCCACCAACGGCACGCGCTCCTGGGCCTCCCCTAGGTCGGCTCAGACTTAAACGAGTACCCGCTACAGCGTGCACACATCGGCACCCCGCCCGTCGTGTGCCGTGCCACCCGCCAAGACGGCACTTGCCCCGACAGGCCGCGAGACTACGCGGGGGACCTTTGTCTCTGTGCCCGTGTGGGTGAGCAGGTGGTGTTCGAGGCTCTTCACGACCTCAGACCCCGTGGCTTCATCGCCGTCTGGATCATCGCCATCAGCCTCATCATCGGCCTCCTCATCCTCATCCTCCTCATCGTGCTGCTCTGGAAGGTCGGTGTCCGGCCAACCGTCCTCAGAGAAACTTGAGATTCTTTATAATCTTCTTCTTCTTATTCCTCCTCCATCCGAGTGTACGTACGGATTTTTTACTTCTTTCGCGCCATACGTAGCCAACCGCGCTAATCAGAGGTGCGGGGGGAAGGACAACAAACTAAACACGACAACAACAACAAGCAGTTGTAAAGCAATGAGTTTGTCGATCTAGATGATGATTTTAAAATGCACAGCTCCCTGCGGAATATCGGAAGGAAGAGCGCGTTCCAGACGGCCGCAGAAGCTCAACCACCATCTTTGCTCAACGTCTCGCAGCTAAAAGCCGCCGCCGCCGCGAGGATGAGCTGAGTCGACGTGACGATGGCTTTATGGCTCCTCGACGAGGTCGGCAGCGAGGGTGTCGTTGTGGTCGATTTGCGGCCCGGCGCTTTGCGTGTGCGGTGCGCGCGACCTCGTGACATCGCATTCGTCCGGCGACCGGTCTGGAGCCTCCCAGCGACGCTCCCCGGGCTCCTCTGCCTCTCTCGACGGTCGCCGCGGCACTCTCGTGCGCCGCATACAGCGTTGCCCCCTCGCACGCGTGGGTTTTCCTCCGGGTGAGCCGGCTGCCTCCCACGCGTACAAACGGCTCATTAATTGGGCCGATATCACCTTCATACATAGAGGACCGCAGAGCTTGGGGGTGGTAATCTGGTGGCCGATCTTCACCACGTGGCTGCTGCTGCTGCTGCCTTCCCGCTCCTCATCTGCGGTTCCTCTTCCTGGCGTCTCCGAGTCGTCCTCTCTCTCTCTCTCTACGAGAGCGATGAGCAGATGCCGTGCGGTGGCAGGGCGGTGTTACAAGTTTACATCGTCGTCGTTAGCATCACCTTCGTCATCGTTATTGTCGTCGTCGTTATCATCATCGTCGTTATCGTCGCCTTCGTCGTTGTTATCGTCGTCGATATCATCGTCGTCGTTGTCATCGTGCCCTGGGTGGCAACCTCTCGCCACGTCTTCTCGATGTCGCCCCATCTTCCTCTGCCCCGTCAACTCTCACCGTCTGGAACCTTCTCTCCCGAAGGGAACCGTCCCTGGTAGCGGCGCCCGGGAAACTCTGCGCCGTCAAAATCCGACGTCGTGCGTTTACACAAAAACGTCAAGCGAGGAGTTGAGCCCCGGTCGCAAAAAACTGGCGACTCCCGATCTGACTGACACTGTGACCTTTCACCCCGGCCGCCCCCACCCCTCCACCCCTCCGCCCCCCACTCCTCCCCCTCCACCCCCACTCCCCGTGTCTCCCCAAAGCTGGGATTCTTCAAGCGGAACCTCAAGGAGGAGCTGGAGATGCAGCGAGCTCGCAAGAAGAGCTGGGACTGGGTCAAGATGGCCGAGTAGATCTCGATGATAAGGTGGTGGTGGTGGGGATGGTGGTTGTGGGGTGGGTGGGTGGGATGGGTGAGTGGGTGGGATGGGTGAGTGGGTGAGTGGGTGGGCGAGCGGGTCCAGTGGTTGTCCACCCACATCCCCACCGATGAGTTAACGCAGGTCGGGTGATCGATTAGAAAATCTGTAATCGGCTGTCCCTCTTTTTGTGATTGATTATTGAGGGGGCCACCTAGGGTGGGGGGGGGGGGGGCCTGGTGACCACAACTCCTCGCTCGGACGTGGACACAAAGCGGTGGTTTTGGGGCCGACGATTCAAGTCGTGCGCCATTTCCGAGATCGGCGATTTGCCCGTTCGCCCGGCTGTTGGCGGCCGCTGCCCCGGGAAGCTGGCCGGGAGGCAGGGGTTGGCGGGGGCCGTCGTGCAAGCGCCAACATCGCGCTCCACGCTCGTCTGGCGCCTGGCAGGGGGGAGGGGGCGATGGGGACGTGTCGGCGGCTCCGCTAGTCGTGCTGCTCTCGGTTAGTTCGTCCTCAATCGCGGGCGCCGTCGCCGTCCAGCTCCCGTTATCTAATTCCGAACCTTGGGTCGTTTAGGTCAATTAATTTAATCGCGCGGGATTTCTTTTTTTTTTAAACCTTATTTATGTTGTTGTCGTTGCCAAGTTTCGGATTTGTTGCGCTTTCTGCCGCGAATGCGGTGGTCGCCGCGGTGGTCGCCGCGGTGTAGACACGGCACCTTGTCCACCCCCTGTCCACCCCCTGTCCACTCCGTGTCCACTCCGTGTCCACTCCACGTCCACTCCACGTCCACTCCGCGTGGCGACCTTGTCGTCCATTGGGCGCGATGTCTAAAGTCACGTCGCGATTCTTCTCCGCTCGTTTTCATCGTCTGCACCGATGTAAACATTTTCGCTTCCCCCGGGGGATAAAACCTCGCGCGAGCAACGGAACGTAAAGCTCCCGGTCGTAGTTTAGCGTCGCCAGAGGAGAGTAGCCGTTAGTCGACAGCGCCCAGTGAAACGAAGCTCAATAACGTCAGCAAAGAAGTCGCGAATTAGCGCCGGTGCAGCGGCTCAGCGGCTCAGCTGCTCAGCGAGCGGGCTCACGATGGGAAAAGGTCGCGAGTTCAACTCCTGGCTGTGCCGCATCAACCGCTGGGCAGTGCCAGCCACGCAAGCACCCAATACCTCACCACCGGTGGTGCAAGCACAATGTGTAAATGTAGTATTTATGTTTGCGTGTGTGCGCGTGTGTGCGCATGTGTGTGTGTTTGCGCGTGCGTTCGTGTGCGTGCGTGTGTGCGCGCGTGTGCGTTTATAAGCGGGCTGTGTGTGTGTGCGCGTGCACACGTGTGTGTGCCTTCGTAGGTGCTCGCTAACAGCACTTGCCCCTACAGTCTGTTAAGGCTATACAGGGGATTTTTGTCTTTGTATGTGTGTGCGCGCGTGTGTGTGCGTGTGTGTGCGCACGTGTGCGTTTATAAGCGGGCTGTGTGTGTGTGTGTTTTATTAATTAATTTCATTCACCACCACGCATAGTCAGCGATGGACTGTTGCGGCAAACGTTTTTTAAAAATATATAAACAATTAAAGACTTGGTTTCACTTATGCTCAATGCTGATGTCTCAGCTGCAATTCATTTCTGTGGCGGTGGGCTGGCTGCATCGTCTTCTTAAATTAGATCTAGAAACGAGACTTGTTTTCATTTTGCCAGGTAAAGGCCCACCGAGCTGCACGATGCGACCTGGCAGGTCACGAATGGAAGCTCAACGCAGTGGGGTTATCGTCACGCGGAAATTAAGAGCATCGCAATACTCTTAACACGCGTGACGTTGTTTCTGGGTGTGGAGGGAAAAACCGGAGGATCCGGAGAAAAATCCACGCGACCACGGGGGTAGAGAAACGCAAACTCCAAATATACATCAACAGGCGTCAGGGTCGGAATCGAACCCACGACCTCCTGCATACCAAGCGAGGTAGTCAACATCTCGCCAGCGATAAGTTTAAATCTAGGTGGTTGATGAGCCAGATGAATGTGTCAGGAGTAGCGGAAAGGCGAATCATCGTCGCTGTGATGATGACGCCTCCTCCTTATACATCTCTGTGTGAGTCTATGGGTCTCTGTGAGTCTATGGGTATCTGTGTGAGTCTATGGGTCTCTGTGTAAGTCTATGGGTCTCTGTGTAAGTCTATGGGTCTCTGTGTGAGTCTATGGGTCTCTGTGTGAGTCTATGGGTCTCTGTGTGAGTCTATGGGTCTCTGTGTGAGTCTATGGGTCTCTGTGTAAGTCTATGGGTCTCTGTGTGAGTCTATGGATCTCTGTGCGAGTCTGTGGGTCTCTGTGTGAGTCTATGGATCTTTGTGCGAGTCTGTGGGTCTCTGTGTGAGTCTATGGGTCTTTGCGTGAGTCTGTGGGTCTCTGTGTGAGTCTATGGGTCTTTGTGTGAGTCTGTGGGTCTCTGTGTGAGTCTATGGGTCTCTGTGCGAGTCTGTGGGTCTCTGTGTGAGTCTATGGGTCTTTGCGTGAGTCTGTGGGTCTCTGTGTGAGTCTATGGATCTCTGTGTGAGTCTGTGGGTCTCTGTGTGTGTATGTGGGTCTCTGTGAGTCTATGGGTCTTTGCGTGAGTCTGTGGGTCTCTGTGTGAGTCTGTGGGTCTCTGTGTGAGTGTATGGGTCTCTGTGTGAGTCTATGGGTCTTTGCGTGAGTCTGTGGGTCTCTGTGTGTGTATGTGGGTCTCTGTGAGTATCGTCCTGTAGCTGGTGCGGTGTGTATACAACATCGACACGAGGTAGACAAAGGCGGCTGGGTGCGGTGTTGTTCGCGTCACGCCACCCTCCACTCGTCATGCGCCTTGTGCCGCCCTCCGTCGCACGTGCCACTCGTGAACAACATGTGCCCCACACGTCTGCAAAAGGGCTGTAGCGGGGGACCTTTGTGTTTCATTCCGGTGAAGAGCTCGCAATGGCCGCGTCAGACACACAGCCAGAGGACATCGAGAGAGATTACGTGTTCGAAAGAAATCACGCACACATTTATCACGCATTGACCGAATTATAAGACGCGGTGCCCTGCTGCCCAATACAGTTGCACAGATATGTGTCACACACACAGTGACGACGAAGACGAAGCACCGCACGGGTGGATTCAAGAATCCATCCGCGTGCCACCCCCACCTCTTGATATCCACCGCGGGTCGAGCCTGCAGCGGCCTCCCTTGGCACTGCCACGCGGCCTGCCGTGCGCGTGGAGGCCACGGATTGCTCCCCCGGCCCCCCCGGCTCCCCCCCGGCCCCCCCCGGCCCCCCCCCGGCCCCCCCCCGGCCCCCCCCCGGCCCCCCCCCCCCCCGGGGCCTGCTTGGCTTGCGAGGCGAGTCGGGGTGGTGCGTTGGTGGCGAGTGGGTCGGGGTGGGGGGGCGGGGCTGGGTATTCCGCGCACGTGCTGGACAGCACCACGTGGTGTGTGCTCGCTTTCATCAGGAGGGAGGGAGGGGGGAGGAGGAAATGGAGGGAGGCGAGCCGTGAGAGAGGGGGGGGAGCCGTGAGGGAGGCGGGGGGGAGTCGTGAGAGGGGGGGGGAGTCGTGAGAGGGGGGGGGAGTCGTGAGAGGGGGGGGGGAGTCGTGAGAGGGGGGGGGGGAGTCGTGAGAGGGGGGGGAGTCGTGAGAGGGGGGGGGAGCCGTGAGAGGGGGGGGGGGGGGAGTCGTGAGAGGGGGGGGGGGAGTCGTAAGAGGGGGGGGGAGTCGTGAGAGGGGGGGGGGAGTCGTGAGAGGGGGGGGGGAGTCGTGAGAGGGGGGGGAGTCGTTAGAGGGGGGGAGTCGTGAGAGGGGGGGGGGAGTCGTGAGAGGGGGGGGGGAGTCGTGAGAGGGGGGGGAGTCGTGAGAGGGGGGGGGAGCCGTGAGAGGGGGGGAGCCGTGAGAGGGGGGGGGAGTCGTGAGAGAGGGGGGGGAGCCGTGAGAGGGGGGGGAGTCGTGAGAGAGGGGGGGAGCCGTGAGAGAGGGGGGGGGGGCCGTGAGAGAGGGGGGGGGAGCCGTGAGAGGGGGGGGGGAGTCGTGAGAGAGGGGGGGGAGCCGTGAGAGGGGGGGGAGCCGTGAGATGAGGGGGGGGAGCCGTGAGAGAGGGGGGGGGGGCCGTGAGAGAGGGGGGGGAGCCGTGAGAGAGGGGGGGGGGCCGTGAGAGAGGGGGAGGAGTCGTGAGAGGGGGGGGGAGTCGTGAGAGAGGGGGGGGGGGCCGTGAGAGAGGGGGGGGAGCCGTGAGGAGGGGGGGGGGGAGCCGTGAGGGAGGGGGGGGAGTCGTGAGAGAGAGGGGGGGGGGCCGTGATGGGGGGGGGGGGAGCCGTGAGAGAGGGGGAGGGGGGAGCGTGAGAGATGAGGGGGGGGGGAGCCGTGAGAGAGAGGGGGGGGGAGCCGTGAGAGAGGGGGGGGGCCGTGATGGGGGGGGGGGAGCCGTGAGAGAGGGGGGGGGGCCGTGAGAGAGGGGGGGGGGCCGTGATGGGGGGGGGGCCGTGAGAGAGGGGGGGGGAGCCGTGAGAGAGGGGGGGGGCCGTGATGGGGGGCGGGAGCCGTTGAGAGAGGGGGGGGGGCCGTGAGGAGAGGAGGGGGGGAGCCGTGATGAGAGGGGGGGGGGCCGTGATGGGAGAAGCGGGGCGAGGGGGGGGGCCGTGATGGGGGGGGAGCCGTGAGAGAGGGGGGGGGAGCCGTGAGAGAGAGAGGGGGGGGGCCGTGAGAGGGGGGGGGTGGAGCCGTGAGAGAGGGGGGGGAGCCGTGAGAGAGAGGGGGGGAGCCGTGTGAGGGGGGGGGGCGTGAGAGAGGGGGGGGGTGGAGCCGTGTTTTTTTCCTCTGTGCTCACCTCCCATCACCGGCTGTCCGCTGCCTCGACCCAGTTTGGTGGAAATTCCACGTTCTCGTGACCGAGGCCAGTGCATCTCGCAGGTCAATCGCTGGTGAATGCCCACGGCCTTGAATCGGAGGTGTTTCTGAGACGCTCCAACAGCGAGCCGACCTCCTTCGACATCAGGGTGCGAGTCACAACCACCAACATCACCAAC